TTTTTTATATTACTGCCTTTTTTGTCAATGTTTGCCAGCAAACTTAATATAAAAAGTTTAGTTAAAATAAATAAATTCAGTTTTTAGTACAGATCTTTGTAGTTAATGTAAAATGAATGACTTTAATGAAGGGTATAAAACAAGGTGAAAGCTGAAAGGTATGTAATGAAGCCTTTATTAGATTGAGTTTGTAAATCCCAGAAATGAGTGGAAATTGCAAATCAAACCCAATTATAACCAATAATTTGATATACATCATGATATTTTTCTAGGGGGGGGTAAACAAATTTCTAGGGGGGGGTAAAAAAAATTTCGGCGCGCTTCGCGCGCCAAATTCAAAATTTTTACCCCCCCCTACAGAATCCTTATATCCGCCCCTGGGGGGGTGCTTCTAAATGGTCCTAGGTAACTCCCTAGCTATCTCACTAAAATCAGAAAACTTGTCTTATCAAGCAATGATTAATTGATTGAAATCATATTCCAGTTCCAAGCATGCTATAGAAAATAAGAAATTTGTTTAGAATTCTCAAATCAGTCTCGAAACAACCGTTCTAATAACTTCTGATTGATACATTAATACTGGAGGCGTTATAGGAGCTCATAGATTTCTTTACGATATTTAGCAAGTTTTAAAACGTAAGTCTGGTCTCCAACGGTGCCGTGACAAACTCCTGAAAGACAAACTCCTGAAAGACAAACTCCGGAAAGACAAACTCCGTGAAAGACAAACTCCGGAAAGACAAACTCCTTATGTGTTAATATCATGCTCGGATTGATGTTTTTAGTCCATTTGTATGATGAAGGTGGAACTTTTGATTAATCTTAACTAAGAAGTCAAAATTAAACTTTAAAAAAAAAAACTTTAGAATAATTATTTAACAAGCAAATTAACAATTAATTAAAAAGATTTCGTACTTAAAGATTTACTCATTAGTTTTTTTAAATAATAAAAAGAACGAGAAGTTTTTTTTCTTCATAAAAGCGGAAATATAATTTTGCGGCCTAATAAACCAACCAACTTGCATTTTACATATAGTGAAACCCTTAATAACGAATACAGGGAAAGAATTCATCAAATGTCATATTCTTCACTTTCTGATAATGGAATGTTGCAAATATTTAGTTTTTTAATTAAATGATTATATGCAACTCTTTAAAACTGTTCCCGCATATTCCATGGCTATTTATTTATTTTCGCAAATACTGAAATTTACGAAATATAGTATAAAACTTATTGAAAAATTGTCAAGACGACATTTGATAAATTCTTCCGATGTATTCGTTATTAAGGGTTTCACTGTATAAGAATTACGAACCAGCTTAGTTAGAATCAAAATTGTTATTTCAGAAAAACTTTTCTTGCTTAAGCATGTTGGAGCTACCAGAACTGTGTCTCAAAATCGGCTAAATTTCTAAACTTTATTGAAATACTTTGCGCCATTTTAACGCTTTCAGTAATCAATACTCATGTTACATCTAAGAGGTATGGATATGAATTTCTTTACTCCGATTTAAGATTTCAAAAAATATTTTTTTTATTTCTAAAGCTTGCTTGGAACTGCAGATAAGGTAAATTTTTGAGAAAAATATGACTTCAATCAATTAAACAATATTTCTTGAGAAGACAAGTTTTCTGGTTTTGGTGAGATAGCTAGGGAGTTACCTGGGACCACTTAGAAGCACCCCCCGTTCTCAGAACTTACGGGATAATTCGTTAACTTTATACTTTATGCAGCCTGTGTGCCGTGGATTTAAAAAACTATTTATGAAAGAAAAACATTTTTAACCTTTGTGTTTTAAAGATAAAGTTTAAATCTAAAATGAAAATAAATTTTATTTGGTGTGTTTCGTTATTATTCAGTCTCCAATCACTGTCAATATTTGTTATTAATCAGATCAAAAGTTGAATTTTTACATTGTCAATTCCTTTACAACAAAAGTAAAAAATTGACCAAACAAAGCAAAATATTTAAACGTTTTAAATAGAAAATATTTAACAATAATTTTCTTCAAGATTTATATTCTCTTCTTCCCGCAGACTTACTTCTTTTCCCTTAACAGTAATATTTATTAGTTTTATTTAGTTAATTAATTTTTATTATTAGTTCTTTGTATTTATTATCAAAAGCATCATTATATTTATCATCATTATCATCATTATCATCATTTTCATCATTTTCATCATTATCATCATTATCATCATTATCATCATTATCATCATAATCATCATAATCATCATTATCATCATCGTTATCATCATTATCATCATTATCATCATTATCATCATTATCATCATTATCATCATTATCATCATTATCATCATTATCATCATTATCATCATTATCATCATTGACATCATTAACATCATAATCATAATTATCATCATAATCATTATCATTATTATCATCATTATAATTACTATCATCATTATCATCATTATCATCATGATCATTATCATCATTATCATCATCATAATTACTATCAGCATTATCATCATTATCATTAATATAGCATCAAAACATCATTAGCATCATTGTTGTGATCATCATCCTTTTTGTTATCACCTTTAATAGTGTCAACTGAACTACTGTTTCTTTCAAGGCATCTACAAATAAAAACATTTTATAGAAAAATCTAAACATTATTTTACCATTTTATAATTCTTATTAATAATAAGGGATTAAGGTCAATAGACCGATTATAAAGTCTAGGGAGGAGTGTAGGAGTTGGGTTAAACATTCAATTATTTTAAATCTTGAATTTCAAATAAAGAAACCTGTCTCTTTGTAGTTTAGGTGTAGATGGCGCTGAAGGTCGACTTTGAGAAACAGATCTAAAAATTATTTTATTTCAAAAATATATCTAAATTTCTAAATATCAGAATTATATATTTCCTAGTTATCTGACATAAATCTTATCAAAACCAAAGCCAAACCAAAACTTTCTAAATTCGAACCCATTTTAAACCGAACTCATCCTAAACCGAACCCATCCTAAACTGACCCCATCCTAAACTGAACCCATCCTAAACCGAACCGATCCTAAACCGAACCCACCCTAAACTGAACCCATCCTACACTGAACCCATCCTAAACTGAACCCATCCTAAACAGAAACCATCCTAAACCGAACTCATCTTAAACCAAACCCATCCTAAACTGAACCCATCCTAAACCGAACTCATCCTAAACCGAACCAAAATCTCACTTAAAACCTGTAATACAACTTAATCCTAACCTTATCTGAATCCAAAACTAACCAATTCTAACCTGAACAGAACAAAAACGTGCAACTACTCTTTAAAGCTGATTCAGACTGATTCAATACCAAACCAAACCCAACCAAATTCCAAATGTGTTAAATCTATCCCTACAGAGACTGACCCTCCATTATTATATAGAGAGGCAAGCTCGAATCAGAAGATTCATAAGGAATGAGTAGCATTCGATTGGAGGACTAAGTAAATCATACATTTTTGTACTCCAATTTTTACAGTATTCGAACAATCGAATTTTCTCCGGTCCTCTTTTACACAATCACAATGTAATAAATAATTATTTTCTATCATGTGTTAAATTATGTCTGTTTATTATTATAACCCGGCTAGATTAAAAAAGTAGGGGGTCGACGCTTTTTTGAGTTTTTTTGAACCAAGACGTTTATAATTTTTAAAAAAAGTTTAAGTTTAATTTGAATTCAGATAATGCCTGAATGCGAGCTCTAACTTTACAGTATTTTCTTCAATTATTTTCCAGAGCCTTTATCTAAGTAAACATTTAATGATAACTGTACTTTCCCTTTAATCTTAATTAAATGAAAAATAATATTCATTTTTCTGGAACTCTCTTTTGGATATACAAGGTTGTTTTTATGAATTTGAACAATTAATCTTTTTTATGCATAGTTGTGTGAAAGACTAAAAGTACATTTCTCATCTTGTAGTGCCAACTCAATTAAGAAAGTCTGGAGATAATCTGCATAGCAATGTAAGAATGAATGAGAATAAATGAGGATGAAATAGATTTAAAGGGAGTGACCGGCTATGTAAGGTAGTTGAACTGAGTATGCAGTGTTGTTTGACGTTCAAAACTCCTAGTTTGGGGGTGGATACGTTTTCAGAATAATTATTTTTTAATTAATTAATAACGACAACGAAAAATAAAGTAAAAATTATACAGTAATCTAATTAGATGGTTAGGAACATATTTCTCAAAATAAATTTGTCAATAAATCAAGGCTAAAATCTATTATTTCGTTTTTATTATTATATTGAATTTCTTATTTTCTTTGAACTTATTCGTAGATTTCTTCAAATTCTTCAAATGTCATCTTTTAAATAATAATTCTAGAAAATCCGCAGAAAATCTGTGTGAATGATGAGAAAATAGAAACTAATAATTGAACAAGATTACTTATTTTCGTTGATAAGATTAATTTTTATTTTCTCAACATGTTCCTATACATGACATATGTACCTTATTGTAGAACTTTTTTACATTTTATGTCGAAGTTACTTAATAATAATAAAAAAACTAATTCTGAAAACGTATCCACCCCCCAAAGTAGGAGTTTTAAACGTCGAATTCAAACTCAGGATTTACAGATCTTTAAAAAGTTTAATATGTCTCAAAAATGAATTCAAAAGAAGTTTTCCACAACACTGCATACTCAGTTCAACTACCTTACATAGCCGGTCTGTCCCTTTAAAGGACTCCGTTATCGGACATGAAGTCATGTATGGCTACAGCCCCTTTAACCACAACAAAACCCAAATAAACTTTTTCAAAACTAAAAAAAAAATTTGCTAAATCTGATTTTGTTATTTTCTTTTATTTGCAGAGGGCCTGTAGATGAATATGAGCAACCAAAAACCAAATTTATAACAAGACCCAGAACCTACATTACAGGGTTAACTATACCTGGATTTGGGTCTAGATATTGGAATTATCTGACCAAGGGCGTTCATGTAATCCGCGATCACAACAGTCAACTCAAGAATCTTTAAATAAGAAATATACACTAGAATGTATTTTCAAGATTGATTTAACATTTTTTTTTGCAAGTTTAGGACAACATTTGTCATTTCTCGTTGATTTATTTCACATGGTTGTCCAGAAATTATGAAACGCGGAATGAAAGGTGTCTTTTATTGAATGGCTTGTTTGACTGTCTGTCTGTAAAAAAAAACGTCAAATGAACTGATCAGAAAAAACGTTACAACTTAGACCACAGGAAGGTTTGTGACGCAAAAAAACGATAATGTTGCATGGAAAATGTTGCATGAAATGTTGCATGAAAAAAAGTCTAAGTTAATAATTCTTAAAAATGCGACAGTTTAGACAGAAAAATCCGGGAAAACCCTAATTTGTTAAAAGGTGCTTAATGGATTTATAAAGTTTCAACTAACCTCATCTTTTCTTTATTTTTTTTTTCTTTACAAACTTCATCTTAATTAGTTTTCAGAAAGAATTTTCAAATGCTAACCTTTTTTACATTACATGCAATTCTGATTATTATTTTTAACGGACTTTAGACTGAATCCCCCCCCCCCCCCTATGATTTCGCCCTTACAGTTGAGATAGGGCAGTGTTATACATGTCCTTAGTTCAACGTTTCAAAGCCAGCTCATAAAAAAAACTTGGTCCTCTAACTTTACTAAATTTGTTAAATTGTCCATAATATGTGTTCACTGTTCACTGTTCAATCATGTATTTGAAAAAGTAAAGAAGTTTGATCGCTCTATATAGCGTCATCCGATTATAATTTATGTAGAAAAGACGACGCTTGGGAAAGCTTATTCTGGCTTAGTTGTTCGATTACCTCTTAAAATTTAGATAACCCTAACATACTAGTTATTTCTATCAAAGTGTTCTAACTTACAAACTAAATGTTAAAATTTCTTTTATTAGCACTAGCAGTAAACAATCAGATTCTTTACCTTAACTTTAGTTGTTGAAAATATAAGTTTATTAGTTTTATTTGTATTGTTGAGTGTTGAAGAGACGAGGACAACAAGCATGAAATTGTCTCCACAGCCTCCGAAGGAAACAACTGTAGAATATGGATACCGAGACACAACCTGCAGGCTACCAGGGTCCAGAACTTTAAACATTAGGTTGATAACAAATTTTCATTAAGGGGACTATAGACGCAATTTTAAGCGATTCTTCTTGAAAAGATGGCAATGTCCGTTTCACACCGTCGCGTTCACCCTTTAAAGTTTTGTCTGATCAAGTATGATTTATGAATTAGATGTCAAATTTTTAAATGTTGAGAACATATTATTTTCGACAGTGGGTTCTCTAGAAAAGGTAGAATATGAATTGTGATTATCTGAATTTAATACTTTTAAACCTAAAAAACGATTATAATTCTATGTTATTGATCAGATACAAGTTTCAAGGGTACCTTTGTGAATCGGGTATTGCCATCTATGCATGGATAGGGTCACTTGAGATTACGCTTTACATTACATTCCTTTTAAGGAAAAAAGTGAGTCCATAATTCCGTCATTTCCAAAATGGGGGTCATAGCTTCTTCAAAATCATTGGAGTTTATATTGACAAATATCGCTTAGATTTCGATATTTCAAATGAAACCAAAATTATCTAAACAAATCTCTTTCATTTTCAAGTCATGCAAGTATGTTTTTTTAACACAGGTCGTTATTGTATAGCCATCAGATCAGAGATCTACTCTTAGTCTTATTCATTATATTTATTGGGACACACTGTATAACAGAAAACAAACATTTAATAACCTGCTATTCCGTCATCAGTTACTGCTAACCATTGTAGGTTCCCCTCCGGAACTTCCTGAATATTTTCAAAACTGACAAAAAAATCGGGTTGATTTAATCTTTACCAATTTTATTTACATACTTTAGGAAACAGGAATTTAAAAGTTTTAAAGTGACTTGTGCATGCATTTATGCCACAGGATTAATGTAAGAAATGGTCAGAATTCTACACGTTTTAATAAGAAAGAAACTCAACGATATCTTCCTCATTGTTACTCGGATAAAAGTTTAAAGAGCACAATTGTGTGCCGGAGACGCCACTATTGAAAAGAAGAAAATTACTTGAAATTACGTCTTCAATCCCTCACAGAGTGAAAAAATTTAAAGAGATCCTACCTGAACTTGAAACAGATTGGCGCCAAAAAACTGCCATTTCCTGGTGCAGGTTAGCAGGATGCGCACACAATCAGAACCGGTTTTACCGCTCAGCTGACTCCATCTTGAAAAATGTGCATTAATACATTTTGTAAAATTAAACTTTTGGAGTGGTTTAAATTCAACGTGACAAATCAGTTATGGAAGATTTTTGAACTTTTTGAACTTTGAACTTTTTAGAAAACTGAAATCTAGAGAAATGAATAAAAAATCTTGATCTCTGTAAAATGTATGTAATGTATGGTAAGAAATAGAAATATGCACTTCTAGTTCTAACTCTGTTCTTTCTCAGGTTTTCATGATTCATTTTGAAATTCATTTTTCTGAAAATCTAATTCAGGATGGGACCAAATTCGCTGATGTGTCTCAAATTCTCAAATATTCGTAATTTTACAATATTTGCTGGTCCAAGTTTTCTAGGAGTATATATAATAATAATGCAGTGTTTGTGAGTGAGGGGGGGNATAACTAGTTCTTGTACTAACCTATTGATAAGAGTCTGGTACTGTTGTTTATCTGTACTGTATCTAGCTGGATATAACTAGTTCTTGTACTAACCTATTGATAAGAGTCTGGTACTGTTGTTTATATCTGTACTGTATCTAGCTGGATATAACTAGTTCTTGTACTAACCTATTGATAAGAGTCTGGTGCTGTTGTTTATATCTGTACTGTATCTAGCTGGAGTTCTTGTACTAACCTATTGATAAGAGGCTGGTGCTGTTGTTTATATCTGTACTGTAATTAGCTGGATATAACTAGTTCTTGTACTAACCTATTGATAAGAGTCTGGTGCTGTTGTTTATCAGTACTGTATCTAGCTGGATATAACTAGTTCTTGTACTAACCTATTGATAAGAGTCTGGTGCTGTTGTTTATCAGTATTGTATCTAGCTGGATAAAACCGGTTAAGTACTTCACCAACATGCTGCTTGTCTACATCCCCAAATTCAATCTAAAGAATAAAAAATATATAATTTTTACAGAAAAGGAACCAATATTGTCCAATAAATAAGGAACCAAATAAATAAGGAACCAATATTGTCCGATAAATAAGGAACCAATATTGTCCGATAAATAAGTCCAGTCCGTTTTGATGCGGATTCGGATTCTGGATCCGGTCTGTAAAACAAAGGATCCAGTTCATGAATATTTAATATTTTCTTTTACAAGCAAATTTTAGAAATTTTCCTCATTTTCTCTTTGAATATATAATACCAATTTAATCTCAGGTAACACTTTTCGATTGTATTATATTAAGCGCTTGAATCCTCAATTGAAGCTACCTGCAGGGTATGACCACCACTGTACAATAAAAAAGGGTAGTTTTGTTGTTTAACAAATATTTAAATCCCACCTGTGCCATAAGTGCAGCAAGCTCAAATGCCAGTTCTTGGTTAACAGGAAATTTTCCAGAAACAATCTGCTCTGAAACCTGTACAGTATCCAGTGTACAGTGTATAGTGTACAGTATCCAGTGTACAGCGTATATTGTACAGTATCCAGTGTACAGTGTATAGTGTACAGTGTATAGTGTACAGTGTACACACATTATGTTAAATTTGGCGGATTTTGAGAAATAATTTTGCAACCCAAAAGATATCAGACAACTAAAATTATTTTGTTTAAAAGATGACGGTCTTATTAATTTAAATAAGTCAACTTTTAATGTCATACTCTCCTTCTGATTGTGAAATGTCGTTACTAATGTTTTATTTTTATTTATTTCTATAAACGTGATATTTCCAGAAACATATCTCTCAAAGCCGTTATAAATTTCTATATTCTTAGACAATTTACAATACCATTTAAAGGAATTGAGACTTTGCCACACACTTTAATTTTATATTCTTTATATTTTTGCATCCAGATGTTGTAGACCTAAGATATTTCAAACTTTCCATTCTGTTACATCAAATAATCTAAGTTTGAAATATTGAAGGTTTACGCCACTAGGTTGTAAAGATATAAGGATTAGAAAATGTGAGTTTATTGAAAAGACTCAATTTCTTTAAAAAAGTTCCTGATAATACTTATCGAGGTTTTATTGATATTTGACGAAAATTGCAACAAAAAGAAAAAAAAACATTTTTAGAAGACTGTAAATTTTCATTTTCAGTAATAACTCCCCAAAAATTCTAGTTTTCTTATCCCTATATATCTATGCAACCTGAAGGCGAAACACCGTTGATATTTATAATAATAAATAATAATAAAGATTTAATTTATTTTTTACATTTATTAAACTATAGGAGCATGCAACGGTATTCTTTGAACGTTTGCTTGTTCAAAGATGAATGAGACATGGCCTTATTTTTCTAGCTGCAAATAACAATAATAATAAATATTCTAGCATCAATTATAGTTTCTTTATTAAAGTAGCTTGCTAATTTATGCTGCGGAGTAAATAAAGGAATTTTTGAGAATTTAATTTAATTTAATAAAAAAAAGATCTCATCTTTATTGTTAATTACATAAAATAGGCTTTTAGGGCACATCTTTTATTTCAGCTGTGAACATGTTCTCATTATAACGTTAAAAAACAGAGGAAAAAAATTTCGCGGATTTTATGAAAAAAATTTGCGTATTTTCAAGATTTTAAAATTTTTTACAAAAACAAATAAAACTTTTTAACACGAATTTTTAGAATTTTGATCTTTCATAAACCTTCCCTGGGGTCACGTGAGATCCCACAAACAAATTTGGGCCCAATCGGTTCAGCCGTTTTGATGGTTATTGGATACAAACAAACAGACAGACAAGCCAAATTTATATAGAGAAGACTAAAATGACCGTTGTGAATATGCCACTCTTTAAATGAAGGATCAGTTAAAATTACGCGTACAGTCCCTTTAAAACTATTTTTAGTAGATGTTTTGCCAACTGAACCATATTTACCGATTTAGAATTTTAGCATTAGATAAATAGTAAAAATATTTTTATCTAATATCTGGTAAGATCAAAGAGAAAAGCATTGAATACTGAAGAATTTTTCAAAATACAATTTAATTCACTAGTAAAATTAAATTTAAATCAAATGATATCAAAATATTCACCCTTTCTGATCAAAATTTGCAGTAGTAAAAAATTAAAATCATGAAATTAATAACATTTTAAAATATGAAAAACTATAAATCAAAATATTTTTATCTAATATCTGGTAAGATCAAAGAGAAAAGCATTGAATACTGAAGAATTTTTCAAAATACAATTTAATTCACTTAATAGTAAAATTAAATTTAAATCAAACGATATCAAAATATTAACTCTTTCTGATCAAAATTTGCAGTAGTAAAAAATTAAAATCAAGAAATTAATAACATTTTAAAATATGAAAAACTATAAATCAAATTGTATTTTGTTGACAATAAATTCAGTTTTTCTTTATTTATTATAAACTTTTAATTATATTCATCGTTTTAATTAAAACTTTTCAAAATGTTTTTCATTTATGATTCAAGAATATAATATTTATCTACCTGATAACAATAAAGAATATAATATTTATCTACCTGATAACAGTAAAGAATATAATATTTATCTACTTGATAACAATAAAAGAATATAATATTTATCTACCTGATAACAATAAAGAATATAATATTTATCTACCTGATAACAATAAAGAATATAATATTTATCTACCTGATAACAGTAAAGAAGTTTCTCTTTTTCTGTCTCATTCAGCACTCCCTTCTTCCAGTATAATCTAGACACACCATTTGAAAACTTGGATTTAAAAAAACAAAAACATTTTTTTCAAAAATATACCTGTTTTTAAACGTGAATTTAATCGCCCTTTTATTCTGAAATTTTCCCGAGCCACGTTCCCTGAGAGCAGTTTCCCATCCACTTAGCACATCGCACACCTGACATAGTTTATTTAGAAATTAATTAACAATTACAGATAGAACACTAGATGTCGTCTTTTTAAGATTTAGGGGGTAATTAAGAACAAAAATACCCCTATAAAAAACACCATCTACTGTCTCCCTGTATTGCTAATAATCTATGGTTTTATTAATATCCATCATTATATTTCATTAAATAATTTCAACCTTTTTCAAAAAGTTTTATTGAAAGGGAATGTTCACAGGGGTCGGCGTTTATATCAGTACAATGAAGACGACTTTTCAATTGATTTCTTTCAAATTACAAGTTTACAAGTAAACAAAGAGAAACTTGTAATTGACTATTTCTATTTGCTTCCATGTATCCATGCTGTTTGAAACCTCAGTGGAACTCAAAAATTGAAATCGAAAGTGGTCTTCATTGTATTGAAATATACGACGAAAATATTATGTCAATATTTAAATATATTTTCATGATTTCTAACTGAAAATATTATGTCAATATTTAAATATATTTATATGATTTCTAACTGAAAATATTATGTCAATATTTAAATATATTTATACGATTACTAACTGAAAATATTATGTCAATATTTAAATATATTTATAGGCTGAAAGCTAATCACTTTAGCTCTTGATCGCGACCATGAAAGCTATATCTGATGTTCCTATCCCGAGAAATTGATATAAAAATGTGTTAAAATTATACGAAAGTTCATATATGTAAAATTTAGAAAATGTTAAACTTAAATCACGTGACCAGAACTATCACCAATGGCAGAGCAGTATACTGGTCACGTGTCTCCGCCTGTGACCACTTTACTGCACTGCCATTGGTGGAATTTCTAGTCAAGCAATACGGTCGTNGTTAAATTCCATCCTAGAATAATATTTTGAACACAACCCTTTTAAGTAGAATTTAAACATTTACTAAATAAAAATTTAAACCAAAGAAAAGAAATGGAAATACAAAACATTATTGTGCAGAGAAAATCTTTAATATGAAGAATTAGAAAAAGAAAAAAATGCATAAAAACAGATTGGTGATCAAACATTATTTTTAGCATCATAATTTTCTTTTTTAAGAACAAATGAAACAATCGTATTTCTATTTTGTATTAGACAAATATTTCATTTTTTGGTTTAAGAAATATCTACAATCTACATGATTTGCTTACTACAATCTTGAATCTACATGTAAGAACAACAGCTATGAGCTTTCAATTTAAAGTTCATCGTGCCTCAAAAACATTATTATGTATAAACAGTTATAAATGCAATACCTGTAGTAAATTTTACATTTCTAAAAAATTATCATTTAATTATGATTTATCATGCTTAGTAGAAATATAAGAAACACAAATCAACCCAGTGAAAGATATTAATTAGAAAAACTCATTTGAAAAAAGATTAAACCTAAGTGTAGGGTGAACAGTCCCTTATATAGACTATAGACGTAAGTTTAAATGACCTGCCATTTGAAGAGAAATGTCTGATTTACAGCAGGACCATTTTAACCTTAGCTTTGACTGATCAAGGTTGCCGGTCTTGTCGTTTTCTCTCAACAGAAACATAGTCTTGTTTACTTAACAAAAGTCGGAGAAAATAAAAATTTTTATTTGAACTTTTGAAAACTGCGTGAAACTTTTGAGAAATACGTGTAAAGTCAGCTGCGTCAAGTTCACACTGTACGCTTACGTACACCTCAGTTTTCGGCAATTTTAACACCATTTCGTAGATTAACACTCAGAGTTCTCTGTCGCCAATGATCAGTCGAAGATTTAAAGGTTTTAGTTGTAAATCGGACCCTCCCCTCCTTGCATGGAGGGTCAGTTTAAATTAAGCTTACAGTCCCTTTATGTAAGATTATTTACCTTCTCTTGTTTAGCGAGTGAATGATGAAGGGTAGGATCCAAGGGATCGTCGCTGAATATACTAAACCCTGATTGATTAGCAGGCCGGCAATTAATCAGATCTGTCAGGGTTGCTTCAAACTCTTCAATTGTTGTAGAACCATCGAATCCAACAACCTGGAAAGTTATGACATGTCAGATTTTGATATTCTTAAATATTTCAATTCTAACAATATTTGCAATATGAAATGAATAAATCAACGACATTTTTGAAAAATGGTGATGGTTTCTTTTCTTCTTAAAAAAGTTCATTAATTCAAATCATATTGTGCAGTTCTGCCACTTCAATTTCAAGACAAAAGTATCTTTCATACTGGGTTTTCAGTACAGCTTTGTAGCCTTGTAACAGGTACAGGTGCAGGTACAGGTACAGGTACAGGTACAGGTACAGGTACAGGTACAGGTACAGGTACAGGTACAGGTACAGGTACAAGTACAGGTACAGGTACAGGTACAGGTACAGGTACAGGTACAGGTACAGGTACAGGTACAGGTACAGGTACAGGTACAGGTACAGGTACATTACAGATACAGATACAGATACAGATACAGATACAGATACAGATACAGATACAGATACAGATACAGATACAGATACAGATACAGGTGTGTAATCTACAGTGAGAACCAAAAAACTATGAAATTGGAAGACATTATTAAATGTAGATGAATTTGATGTTGTTTTACTCGTAGTTTAAATTTCTTTTTAAGTGAAATGAATCTGTGTGCATTGCGCAATTAAAGTGTTGCATGTTCTTAGGATTATTTAATATCATAACTTTAGTCCTAAAGTCGTCTTCCTTTTCCACACTTTTCTGGTTTTTACAGTACCTGATATGTTCCATTAAGTAAATGTACGGGTACAGCATGTGGTAGAGAATGATGATGAGGATTCTTCAGTAGGATACTAAGCACCTCGAGACGGGAAGGTTTGGCCACCCTGTACATAAGTTTTGGTCAATCATTAATCAATAAATTAATTTATCAATCAATCAACCAATCAATAAATCAATCAATCAATCAAGGATAATTCTGAAATACATTGGTTTACTAATTTAAAGATACACATAATACCTAATTTTTAAAAAATTAACTGAACCAAATCTTCTTATTACTCTAAAATGTCTGTGACAATGTTCTTCACTTTTAAAATATGTTTGTTCTCGTTTTCTTCTAAAACGTCCAATTTCAAGAGTTTTTCCGTTTTTTTTACATTTAGCTGGCTAATGATATATATTGCTGATAATGTGTGACATTTGATGATTGTTTGCGCCAAAAAATCATTTCTCATAAAACTTGCTTTCGCAATCATTTATTTAACACTCGTTGAAATTTCTTGTTTGTATTTAATTAATTGTTAATTTCCTGAATAATGTAGCAAAGGCTAATCCGCTGGTTTATGAAAACAAAAGTGTCTACTAAGCACCCAGCCCTAGAATCAGACTGATCATTTCTCCCTTTTAAGAGTTTGGAAGTGACTTCAGAACAATCTTGGAATTCAAAATAACGCAATATTTGTTTTTAGTTAGAACATTTGTAATGAACAATTTTTGCTAAGAATTCTAAAAATTGTTTTCCAAAAAAATTAAAAAATATCTGGTTTGGCCGGTTTTTCTGAATGATAATTTGATAGAAAATGTTGAACATTTTTAAAGAAATGAATTATCCCTATTCTGACAAATACTTATCTATAAATTGTTTTTGCTTTACAATTTCAATTAATTATTTTCATCAAGAATTCGGAGAATACTGCAATACAAGAACACTGTAAACAAAACAGAAGAAGAAAGTAAATTTTATTCGATATTGCTGGTACACCTTTGCGACCTCGTAGCTCCTCTACTTGGGTTTTACGAACAAATATAAGAAAAGCAAGTTTATCTGGATAGATATTAGAAATTTTAAACATTTTTATTCTTCTGAAAAGCTATTCAACAAGATTATTTATGTTCGAAAACATTCAATTATTTTAGTATTTTTGATTTGAGAGCATAGTTTTGGGGGAATTAAAATTGGGATCGAACTTAGAATAAACATTATTTTGGTTAAAAAGTTTCTCTCTGCTGTGTGTATATGACATCTATAATTGATATTTGTACATTAATAAAAATATATATCACACTTTTACAACTTTCCTGATATATTAATAAAGAATAAGAAACATAGAATTAGTAGTACAAGTATTAGTAATAGTATTAACAGACATAATTTGATCAAAGGGTTAAGATACTACAAATTCTCAAAATTAAGGATTATAAACATAATTAGGAATTAATTTCACACATAAATAGGATAAAATCTGAAACATAAGAAAACTAAGGAAGAATCTGCATATTTCAAAAATGGAATTTATTATTTCTTTTTATATATTTTTTTATTCTAAATTTTACGATAGTCAACAATTTTTAATAGTGGGTACAAATCATACAGAAATATTCTATTTTAATTCTTGTCATCTTAGTTACCTTCTTGATTTGCTTCTTTTGTTGACCTTCCCTTCCGGCAATTTTGGAAAAAAAAATATTTTTTGTCAAAACTTAAAAAGTGCTGGCTTTCCTCAGCTCGGAACTGTCTAAAGCGCTTGACTATCCCTCTGTGCAGCACACATTCAAAGTATTCAATTTGGGGTGACTGCAAAGGGGACGTCCAATGGTGTCTTCAATCGCTAACGATTAAGGTTGATAGTGTGGAGCTTTTATTGGAGTTCTTTTCCAGTTTTCAAAGTTAATTTTCTTTATATTCTTTTTTCCTACTTAACTTTTTGCCAGTATTAGATATATGTTCTATACTACTATACATATTTTGCACTTGTAATTATAAACAGATCTGACAGTTTTGCCAAGTGATAAAAAACTAAAATTGGAACCCACAGCCTCTTTTCACCGACTTACGTGGATTTAACGGTTCTGTCAATATTTCAGAAAACTGTGACTTTCAATCAATCACACTTTGACCCATTTTACGTAACTTTATAGCCTTTTATCTTAAATACTTTTTTGTGGGCATATACATTTTGAATGAAAAAGAATAAGACAAACAAATCTATACGTCTGAAGACTGTTGACTTATAGACGAAAACACGTTTGATTTCAAATGAAAGAAACCGAATGCTTCTCTCTCTTGTTAATTCAGAGTGAACTGCATCAATAATCTGTTAGACTGTTATACCTTATTTTATTTATTTCTTATATCTATCTTTTTACCTTGATCCATTATTGACACATCTCTCAAGGGCTTTGGAACAATAGGCTGCGTATTTGCCGGTCTCAGACCTTAAACAATAGAATATTCAAGGGACATCATTCCTATTATCATTATTATCATCATTTCTTTTATAACATATTAATATTACTATGATTATTATCATTTAATTATGAATATTTTTATTATTATCATTATTATTATTAACATTTCTATTATTGGTTTATTATTATTGGTATTATTATTATAATTATTCAAAGCTTACTTAGAGTCCTTGTTCCTGGCAAGATGAGTTCTAAGGAACCAGAGAAGTCTATTGTTCCTGGGAACAAATATACTCACAGCAACAGCCATCAACATCCACGCCTTAATATAGGTATTCCCTGAGTGATGAATTTCAAAACATAAATAGGGTACAATCAGGATTCAGGATGAATGTATTATCAAGAGGGTTGGATGAGAATGTATAATTGGATTTATGGAGTATCTAAAGGGTTAGATGAGAATATATACCTGGATGAATGTTGTTTACAAAGGGTTGGATGAGAATGTATACCTGGATGAATGTGGTATATAGATGGTTGGATGACAATGTATACCTGGATGAATGTTGTGTATAAAGGGTTGGATGAGAATGTATAATTGGATTTATGGAGTATCTAAAGGGTTAGATGAGAATGTATACCTGGATGAATGTTGTTTACAAAGGGTTGGATGAGAATGTATACCTGGATGAATGTGGTATATAGATGGGTGGATGACAATGTATTCCTGGATGAATGTTGTGTATAAAGGGTTGGATGATAATGCATACCAGGATGAATGTTGTATATAAAGGGTTAGATGAGAATGTATACCTGGATGAATGTTGTATATAAAGGGTTGGATGAGAATGAATACCTGGATGAATGTTGTATATAAAGGGTTGGATGAGAATGTATACCTGGATGAATGTAGTATCTGGAGGGTTGGATTTAGATAACTGTGAGGATGTAGGAGATGTGTCTGGGGGACTACTCACTCCTCCAGATGAATCACAGGAGAAGATACTGGTAGCGTTCAGTAGAAAACTCTGAATTATTACAGTTTACATACTGATGTTCTTAATCCTGAATTATTACAGTTTACATACTGATATTCTTAATCCTGAATTATTACAGTTTACATACTGGTATTCTTAATCCTGAATTATTACAGTTTACATACTGATATTCTTAATCCTGAATTATTACAGTTTACATACTGAAATTCTTAATCCTGAATTATTACAGTTTACATACTGAAATTCTTAATCCTGAATTATTACAGTTTACAAACTAGTGTTCTTAATCCTGAATTATTGCAGTTTACATACTAGTGTTCTTAATCCTGAATTATTACAGTTTACATACTGATATTCTTAATCCTGAATTATTACAGTTTACATACTAGTGTTCTTAATCCTGAATTATTACAGTTTACATACTAGTGTTCTTAATCCTGAATTATTACAGTTTACATACTGATATTCTTAATCCTGAATTATTACAGTTTACATACTGATATTCTTAACCCTGAATGGTAAGTGAAAGTGGAGCTTTGTAAAAGTGGGATGGGGGGGGGAGAGAGGGGGTACTTCATTTTAAAAATACACCTGTCGAATTTTTCAATGTTTCCAAATCCCTGCAATGCAAATTTTTTCTTAATAGTTTATCTTTCTTTATTCTTCTTGTTAATAGACATTTTTTTATACGTATCAACATGATAGACTGATATATAGCATTTAAATTAATTTTCTAAATAAAGTCAGTTTTATAATACGCTTTCAACGTTTTATTTGATTTCAAAACGCTGGATTTGAGAAATGTCGGTTTTCATAGGCGCGAAATGACGTGTAAGGCTAGTGCTAGCTGTGTAGTGTTTACCTGAACACCATGTCTATTTGCTGCATGTCTGCTAGTCTGTTTAGCAAGTATAGCAAAGAGTTCAGCTTGAAGTTGAGGGGTCTGAAGGCACTGTTGTATTGTATTCTGAACCAGTACAACGTGGTAATCTGGTAGATTTACAACTTTATCAACAAATTTAAAAATTTATAAAAAAAAAGAATTTTTTGAGCGCAGTTTAGACCTATGTTGATTGCAGATTAAATACAGTCATAACCAGGAAACTGTAGAATAGTAAGACGACATTATAACATTTCTGAAGTGTTCTGATGTTGTTTAATAGCAAATAGTTTTACTTGAAAGTTATTAAATTACATATATTAGGTAAAATGGGTCTGTTTCCGTTGCACAATTGCTGTGTCTCATGTTCAATGCGCTTTTTAAAGTCATAATTTGAGTTTAAAAGTCGACTTCCTATTCCAGAGTTTTCTGATTATCACTGTATAATTAATAAAAATATAACATAAGATATATGCGAGTTTAGAAAATTGTCGTTGGCGACATAAATATTTTTTTGTTACTTAAAAGATCAGATTTAAAGGTTTAGTTGAAAATGTTCCTATTCCAGAACTATCAAGAACTACACTACAAAACAGGTTTACACTCTGAAAAAAAAATTTACAAAAATAATGATAAACATATTTTTCGCCTTTTCTTTGAACGCTGTAATACGAACCCCGAGGTTTCTTTCATCAGGAGTTTCAATAATATGGCTTTTGAAAAGCCATAAAAAGTTCATTTTTGTGACAACACAAGCTCAGTTAGAGAAGGTGATGGGGAAAAATGTACAAAAATACAAGATAACCGGGGCTCCTTCGTGTTTTCTGTGTTTCCTGTTGATAGAGTGTTGTGTCAGATTCCCAATCACAACGGTACCAATACAAGCTGTATCGATCAAGATGAATAAGATATGTTTTTAACTATTTTTAATTCCATGGTTTCTCTTTTAAGTGATTTGCGGTTTTGTGCTTCAAAATCATTTTGGAACATTTTTTGATATTTAAATATTTTTAATTGTAAAAATTTTTCATTCTTAATCAAATTGCATATTGAAACATATCTATAATGTAGGAAATTAAACACTTTTAAATCTCCTTTAATCAGATTGATGGACTGGCACATTTAAATGTTTAAATGAAATTTGTTTTCCTGATTTTTGTGTTTGTTCACCTTAAATAGTTTGACGGCCTCAGCCTGAAGAATATCTGTTGGAAGGGTTGTAAGGGGGGAGGACAGGGGATCCTTGTTGTATACCATAACTGGGTGCTTCCACAATACATTCCCTGGCAAATTTAAAAAATTTAAAACATTTGACATTTAATCAATTAGATTTAAAAATTGAATGTGCCCCCCCCCCAATTTTAACAAAACTTGATTTTCTTTTATACAGTTTATTCTTTACAAGTGTTCAATTATAAAAACTAGTTTATTATCTTACTATTTTGCACAGCAAAAAGTGTATTTTATAATTAGCATGTACCAAAAAAATGTCCAATAAGTCTCCTAAAGATTTTTTTCCCTTTATCAAAATAATAAATAATTCTTTAAAAAATAATCATCGTTAAAGTCACTCATACACTAATAAAAACCAATTAGCTCTTGGTTTCATTCTGTTTCTAATTCTAGTAATTCGATAGCTATCTTTAAACTTGCATTAGATTTTATGAAAATCTTTACGGCATAGCTCACTCTCGCCAAACAGAAGCGTACCGACAACAGAAATCCAAACTAACTCCTTTTTGATATCCCGTGGTAGTCATATTCCTTAGGGATACTTTGATTGATGGATCAAGCATTTGTCTAATTTAAGTGGCCACATTGGATATCGAGATTAAGAGTGGAAGTTTAACAGTACTTAACGCAATAGTTGCTAATGTGAAGGGGCTTTTCATATTTGTGCTATAATTCTATCAACTTTTTCGATGGGTCAAACTGGCAACGGTCATTTTAAATTAATCTAACACAATGATTTTAGACAGTGCGCCTTCTTTAAACTTTCATCTGTTTTGCATTGCACCATCGTGTTGCAAAGATATAAGGATTCGGAAATTTAGTTAATTTCATAGACTCAATTTATCTGTGCAAATTTAATTCGCTATTATTTTTTAAAGAACATCAAATTTTTCAAGAAAACAAAATCAAATATTCAAATTTTTGCAGATATTTATTTTCCTCTTTTATAGGGAAAAAAAGCTAATATGACGATTTACTACCAAGTCCAGGTAAACGGCGGGAGTAACTATGAGTACCCTAGGCATGGGCAACGGTGGGTTCTCAAGCTTGTTCTTTATTTTTGTGTCACAACAGAAAAAAATGATGTCACAGAATTCAGGAAAAGTGTTCTTTTTTTAAATGGTCTTTTTATCAAAATTCTGAATGAATAATTGATTTTTTCTTTGAATGAAAATAGATTGTTTTATTTGATCAATTGATTGATTGCAGGGTTTCCAGAATTTTACTTGCGAGTAATTAAGAGCCCATTAATTTTGCACAAATCCGCAATATTCAGCGCAAATCCAAGCAACAAAATTCCGATTGGATTGATTGTATTTTTGTTGTTTGTTTTATTGATTAATTGACAGGTTTATAGATAGATAGAAGATTGCTTGATTGATTTACCTGTGTCTCCCTCTGATTCCATTAGTTTCTGAATAAGCTGTTCAAATTGAGTTCCTGCTTTAGGATCTCCGCCTGAACACAGGGAAAAGTATCATCTTTTTTAAAGCTTCTTTTCCCTTAAATTCATTTCAAGATTGTTTTTGTTAAGGGGTGACGAGGGTGGATAAATGGCATAACATTTTGGATTATTTTATTAGAATAATGTTCCTCTTGAAAATAGCTGAAAATAAAGTTTACAAAAAATATTGGTGGAAGGGTTTTATTTTTAGGCGAAACAGTCTGCCTTAGTTTTTTTCTTTTTAAAGTCTGCACAATAAATTGAGAATTTATACCCTATAGATACGTAAGGGAAAAAATGGTTTGGTAAGTTTTTTCTCTATGTCTTGTGCTAGAGTAAAAAGGTTGCAGCTTGCAAAACAAAAATCATTCAAAGTATACGTAATCAAAAATGAGCTTTTTGGCCATTCTTAAAAAAACTGAAGAACAAAAAATATAAGAAATATCTAAAAACACTAACAATGAACTTAATTAGAAATATATTATGACAGTTTGAAATAAAAGGCGCCATGAAGTTAGATCACACTGAGAGATAGTACTTAGCTTAAAGATCAGATTTATAAATACAAACTGTACAAATCAAGTGCATTAACGCATTTAAACATTTTATTGGGAACACATTAGATATAGTTCATATAGTGCACACTGTACAATATTGACTTAAAGGATGTCTCAATATATGTCAACGTTCAAAAAAGAAAAAAGATAATTATTTCGCTCAATTTTATGAACATTTCTAAACAAAGAATATATTATTGAATTTTCATGTATGCAATACATTGTTAAATAATAGAATTTTAACTTTTAGTTGTATTTATGTAAATATTAATGCATTGGCAATAATTTATAAATATCTGTATACATATCATCCCTGTGTGTAAATACTTGAGCTAACATTTACTACAGACAACAAAACAGGACAGTACCTCAAAGGAATTATCCCTTTTTAGATTAATCTGATATACCAGGCTTTTAGGGCGCTTCGCGCCCATCTAATATTTTAACTTTTAATTGTGGCTTTATCTGTGAGCATCTTCTCTTTATACAGTATAAAATAAGAAAAAAAGTTTGCGGATTTCATAATACTGTTCCGCGCATTTTCAAAATTTTACAAAAATAAAAAACTTTGGGCCCGATCGGTTCAGCCGTTTTGACGTTTATTGGGTACAAACAAACAGACAGACAAGCCAAATTTATATATAGACGACTTTAACGAATACAAACTATGGGTTTAGGTTTATCAAACAAATTTGAACACTTTTCATTTTCTACTCAGGAAACTTTGAAACTATTAATACTGTGTCAAGAGTAAGCCTTGTAAAATAGGTTTCCAAAAAAACTTATCTCCAGTAGTTGATAAGTCAGTCTTTTATACATCAAGACATCATGTTTTGTGGAACAGACTCTGTTAGAAAACACACGAAATGATCAAAAGACAGAACACTTTTATAAAATTTTGTTGAGAATTGTGAAATTATTGAAGGAAAATGATATCTCACAAAATTGATTTTTGTCACAAACTCTGATTTTCTAATATTTATATCTATACAACCCAATGTCGTAGACCTTAGATGTTTCAAACTATAAATTCTGTTGGATCAAATACTCTAAGTTTAAAATATCAATTGTTTGAACAATTAAGATGAAAAGATATAAAGATTTGAAACTTTGAGTTTGTGGTAAAAACTCAGTTCCTGTACCTGTACGTATATATCGAAAACATTCTGTTCGTAATTTTTAACTAAATGTTTATTATTTCGAAATGTTTACAGTGAGTTTGATATTACTAACAAAATAATATGGAAAGATAGAAATAGATAAAAATGTCTAAAATCGACCAAACCAAATATATTTATTTACCTGAGACAACAGTTAGTTGATACAGCCATTTTTCCTCCTCACTCTTATTAGGAAATATCAGGTAGGTTGGACCCTGGAAATATTTAAATATAATAGGTCGGACCCTGGAAATATTTAAATATAATAGGTCGGACCCTGGAAATATTTAAATATAATAGGTCGGACCCTGGAAATATTTAAATATGAGGTGGGTGGGCCCTGGAAATGTTTAAATATAAGGTAGGTGGGCCCTGGAAACATTTAAATATGAGGTGGGTGGGCCCTGGACATATTTAAATATAAGGTAGGTCGGGCCCTGGAAATATTTAAATATGAGGTGGTTGGGCCCTGGAAATGTTTAAATATAAGGTAGGTCGGGCCCTGGAAATGTTTAAATATAAGGTAGGTGGGCCCTGGAAATGTTTAAATATAAGGTAGGTGGGCCCTGGAAATGTTTAAATATAAGGTAGGTGGGCACTGGAAATGTTTAAACATGAGGTAGGTGGGCCCTGGAAATATTTAAATATGAGGTAGGTGGGCCCTGGAAATATTTAAATATGATATAGCATGGCCCTGGAAATAGATTATTATTAGATTTGTGGGCATTGGAAATATTTAATAATTACATAAACCGGCTCTGGAATAATGTGCGCTTCCAAGGTTACTAAAAGTTACTTCCGCTGTTTACCCGCACTTGAACGATTTTACCAGAATTTTCGCTGACCCACTCAACTTAGAATTTTAAACCCTTGGGTATCCCGAGTTCCCCAATGAAAATCTGAGGCAAATTGGCCCAGGGGTTCCTGAGTTGTGATCGGACAAACAAACAGACAGACAAACAGAGATTGCCATTCTATAGATATAAATGGACCCCTGTTCTTGAAAATATACAGTATACACCCCTGTTCTTAAAAGTCTACACCCCAGTTCTTGAAAATGTTCAGTATACATCCCTGATCTTAAAGATATCCACCTCTATTCTTTAAAATATTTACCCCTCTTCTTAATAATATCCACCCCTATTCTTGAAAATATACAGTATTCACCACTGTTCTCGAAAATATCAACACCTAATCTTGAAAATATACACCCCCTATTCTTGAAAATATCCACCTCTGTTCTTGAAAATACCCCCCCCCCCCCCTGTTTTTGAGAATATCCAATCGTGTTTTTGAAAATAGCCAGCCCCTGTTCTTGAAAATATCCACCCCGGTTTTTGAAAATATCTACCCCTGTTCTACCTGGTGAACATGGTTTGGAAATATTCCTAGAGTAGGATGGGATTCCTCTAAACCATCTCCAGTTTCACTATCAGAATCCGATATATGCTCAACCTCCTCAACTCTACTGTCTCTCATGTTAATCTGTCCCAGGGGGTTCTAAAGGGTGAAAATTTAAACTTCAAGGAAAATCTGAAAATTTTCATAGTTTTAATTTTTTTATTAAAAAATAGGCTTTTTTACATCCTTTTAAATTTTTTTAATAAAATTGATAATCCGCCTGTTCGCCTTTGTTTAATTATTGTTAGAATTATTAGTTTTGTTTTTAATACTTAAAAAATCAGGGAGTTGCCATTCTATGTTGCGCGCACATGCCCCGTAAAATTCCAAAACTGAGAGAGGGGGATTGAATTTTGAAGTTCCAGAAATTAGGGTTAGGTTAGGTTAAGACACTTTCTGGGCCGAGCGCTGCGGCTAGGACAGGCTAGGGGGCTGAGCGCTGCAGCCACGAATTAGGTTAAGTTATGACACTTTCTGGGCCGAGCGCTGCGGCTAGGATAGGCTAGGGGGCCGAGCGCTGCGGCCACATGTCTTACATTTAAGACCCCACCAGCTGCCAGTCTCTACGCAGGCATTCCACAGATATTATTTTTCTGGATCTACAAAATTCAATCCCCCTCTCTTTGTTTTGGAATTTTACGGGGCATGCGCGCACAACATAGAATGGCAAATGCCAAAAATTCAATAATAAAACCATAAAAGAATTCATAAATTCGCGGCAAAAAAGTAAAATGTCAAAACTTCTTATATTAAACTTCAACAAAAAAAAATCAACTATTATTCAATAAATAAATAAATTATTTATCCTGCCTTTAAGAAATATACAATAATAATCACCTGGTCTGTTGGGGTCTTAAAGTAAACAAACATTTTCCCCAGCAGTACACACCAACATCTAAAAAAAAACATGTTGTTTTCAAAATATTAAAACTTAGAAAACGATCTTTACTGAAGTTCACTAATAAACATGTTTTGCGGGACACGCTGTATTATACAATTTTTACATTCTTAAAAATATGTTTAATTTTATGTTTGCTCTAATTTGAACCCCCTAAATGGGTTCTTAATGATAAACCACAGATTAAAAGCATTAAAATCTGAAAGCAAGCAACATGAAAGAAAGAAACCACAACATTTAGAGTAAAGCTTTAAAAGAAAATATAAACACAAGAAAGAGCAATAAACATAGAACTAAATTTTGACTTTAGATGTAATTGTAATTATGACCCTCCTTTAAATTTGGGCCATGCCGCACATGTCTTGTCTAATAATTTAACGGTACCCTTTAAACCATGTTTTGAGGGCCCGAAAACCCCCTGAAATTCATAGATTTTACTGGTCCAGGGAGGAGGCTAAGCCCCCACAGCCTCCCTCTGCAATTATCATCGATGACAGCACTCAATTTTCAGCTAAGGATTAGTTTCGTCGTAGATGATCAGACAAAGATTTAAGACGTACAGTTGTGAATCGAATATACCACTCTATTTATAAAGAGTCACTTATAATTACGTCTAAAGTCCCTTTAACTATATTAATTAATCACCTTCTGGAGTGTCCATGTTTAACTTTAATCAACCAGCCTTGTAGCGTAGGGGTTGTATTCTCTTTACTCAAAACAATCCTAAACAGTAAACATACAAATATATCAGAAAAGGTAGGATGAGACTATGTAATTAAAAACAATCCTTAACAGTAAACATACAAATATATCAGACAAGGAAGGATGAGAATATGTAATATAAAAACATACAAATATGTCAGACAAGGTAGTATGAGAATATGTAATACAAAAACATATAAATATGTCAGACAAGGTAGGATGAGAATATGGTTTACAAAAACATACAAATATATCAGACAAGGTAGGATGAGAATATGTAATACAAAAACATATAAATATATCAGAAAATGTAGGATGAGAATATGTTATACAAAAACATATAAATATATCAGACAAGGTAGGATGAGAATATGTAATATAAAAACATACAAATATATGAGACAAGGTATGATGAGACTATGTAATACAAAAACATATAAATATATAAGACAAGGTAGGATGAGAATATGTTTTACAAAAACATATAAATATATAAGACAAGGTAGTATCAAAATATGTAGTACAAAAACAACTTTAAAAAAACGATATCTCAAGGTTCAAAATTATCTTATACCTTTATTAGACTTTAAATTATTTATATAACGAATGCTTCTAAAAAAAAACCATAAATGCAAGAAAAAAGGTTGATCAGATTCCGTATAGTCGTTTCTAAAATATCATTATTTGTGGGTACTCCTGTACCAGTGCTTAGGATCCGAATCCGGATCCGTTGGATCCGCCAGATTTTGGCTTCCTGGATCCGGATCCGGATCTAAGGGGTAAAATATCAACCAAAAACTGCAAAAAAAACTTTTTTACTCCTAAACCCCAATTCTGAATTTTTGAAAAAAGAGAGAGTATAAAAATTTCCTCATTTCTGAATGGTTTATCAAGTTTTAGGATAAAAACAAGCGAAAAAAATAAAACAAAAAATTTGAAAATTATTTTTTGTTAAAAAAATTCAGTAAATCTTAAAGAAATGACCTGGATCCGGATCCGGATCCATTTTTTTCCAGTGCGGCATCAAAATTAAATGGATCCTAAGCCTGTATATATATATACTATTCCTGATTAGATTAGAATAAACCTATTGCTCTTACTTTGCGAGAACGTAAGAATATAATTATGTTAGAATTTAATAATATGAACGGATGAATATAAAAATATTATAATAAAGCCATATACAAGTATATAGTAAGATTAGTATGTTTTAGCGAAAAAATGCGAGATTGCAAAAATGAAAAAATAGAAAATATTATAATGAATGAATAAAAGAATATATAAAAAAATGTAAGAATTAGCTAAATTAATAAGGATGAAAGAATGAATGAATCTGTAAGAATGCAGATTGATTTTTAAAGGTTAAGGGTTTGTACATATCTTATTTATTTAAAATCGAACATGGTACATGAATGTACATAACATGTTTATAATATAAAATATGTTATTTGTAATATGCATATGAAGAACAAATTGGTTGATAAACTGTTATTTGGAATACAAATATTTAAATCTTAAATGATTTTTAAGGTTTGGGGGAAATTATGAAAATTTGGACTTCTGCAACTGGCAAGGTTTTCAAACTTTTTTATCGTCTGAAAATTAGTTTTTACTCTCATTGATCTAAAAAAAAACCCCAGAAACTTACTAATAAAAATAATTTTGAAAAGGGAGATTTTTTTAAACAACATACATTATAAAAACCTCTCCTCTAAGTGGATTGTTTGATATCTGATGCCAAGTTAACATGACTTCTTACCTCAGGGCATTCATTTGAACAACATTTTGAAGCTGTGAAACCCATTCTTCAGCTACCACTAGACTATCAGCTGTAAGGTAGTGAATCCTGAAAAAAACCGGTTAATGCAAAAGTGCAAAAGTTCGGTTCATTTCAAGAACCGGGCCGACTTTGAACCTGCTAAAGCAAGCTGTACAGTGTACACTGTACGTAAGTGCAGTACACATACAGACACTATATAGCAAAACAGGACAGTTCGACTAATCAACAATACTCTTCAAGTGAATTTTATGTGGTAGTCTGGTAGACATAACTAATTACATCAAAATCATATGTTTTTGTTTCAAATTTGAATTCAAGAATAATAATTAAATAAGAGACAAATAAATCTAATCCCATGCAGATAAAAACTCCGGTTTATTTGATGAAAAGGCCGGATGTATTTAGGCAGTTAGAGCAAGTTGTACTGTACACTGTACAGTAAAGTATACATACAGCACATAGACAGTAAAACAGGACGGTACATAAACTGAATACTCCCCCTCTAAGGAGATTTATGTGCCCATGGGGTAAGAAAAATATTTTCTTAAGGATTTGGAGAAAAAATTGACATCAGCTATAGCTAGCACATTATTTCTCCCCTTTATTATATCTTCATCCCAAAAATGAATTTATTTTGACCTTAAAATCATTTTCCAAAATGTGTGTGATAAAACCTGTACAAAATGATTCCAGAGAATATATACCCTGGTAGAATATTACCTGTCTTGAAGTGTAACCTGGAAGGTTGTGCTGAATATATACCCTGGTAGAATATTACCTGTCTTGAAGTGTAACCTGGAAGGTTGTGCTGAATATATACCCTGGTAGAATATTACCTGTCTTGAAGTGTAACCTGGAAGGTTGTGCTGAATATATACCCTGGTAGAATATTACCTGTCTTGAAGTGTAACCTGGAAGGTTGTGCTACCCTCTGCTCTCTGTACTCTACAGGTTTCCGTTAGTAAAATAACCCCTTGAGGTTTACGGTCCATGTCATGCTGAAAACAAGAAACGAACTGTGAAAGTAAATTGGTGAAAATACTTCTTTCTTTCTACTCAGTTTTTTAAATTCCTATATCTTTACAACAGCTGATGGTATAAACCTTTGATATTTTAAACTTAGATTTTTTATTCTTACATAATTAATCGTTTAAAATATCTAAGGTCTACGATATTGGGTTACAATGATATTGGGATTAGAAAATCAGAGTTCGTGGCAAAGACTTAATCACGGTAAGTACAAAAAAACTCTCAAATTCAATTTTAAAGGTAAATAGAAATGATTGTGTTTAGATCATATATAAATAAATACATGGTTTTGACGCATTCTTTTCAAGGCTTTTCAAGTATACTAAAAGTGTTTTATCTTCTAAAATATTGCACTTACGTGGGATTTCCAGTAGGCAAGATTTCCATCTTTTAGCTGGAAATATCTTTTCTGCCAGGACTTAAACTTTCCACCCAGCTTAGTTAGATAACCACACTTCTCATAGCTTCTCTCCCCAACCCTATAATACAAAGCTAGTACACTTCCTAACCCAGGACTTAAACTTTCCACCCAGTTTAGTTAGATAACCACACTTCTCATAGATTCTCTCCCCAACCCTATAATACTAAGCTATTACACTTACATACTCGGACTTCACATAGATTCACTATTATACATTTAAACATTTTGGAACAATCAACCATATTATAGAAACATGACTGAATATTAAATGACCTAATTTTTATATTGAGTTAATTTTATTTTCTCAATCTGTTTCTAAACAATGGATTAGAAAAAATGTTGTTATATTTGTCTTCCAAGTTTTTAAATGATCAAAGTATACTGATTCAGGGACGCGTAAAAACAAAAATAGAGACTGAATAGATTCCGTAGAGTCGTCTCTGAACTTTTATTCTTCGTGAATAACCCTGTAGCTGAGAATTAAGTCACCTTGAGCTCTCAAGGAAAGATGATCTTGTTGGTAGGGTCAGCTCGTCAGGTGGAAAAGCATAGTCACCAGATAGATCAGAATCTATTGAGATATCTAAAAAAAGATAGATCAGAATATATTGAGATATCTAAACACAGATATATCAGAATATATTGAGGTATCTAAACACAGATATATCTGAATATATTGCGATATCTAAACACAGATATATCAAAATATATTGAGATATCTAAACACAGATAAATCAAAATATACTGAGATATCTAAACAAAGATTAATCAAAATATATTGAGATATCTAAACACAGATATATCTGAATATGCTAAGATATCTAATTTGAATATATGAATAAATTGAGATATTTAATTACATCATTGCAAAATAATCGATTTTTTGTTGAATATAAGCGATATTTTTGATTCGTAATTTATAGAGTGCATTGGATAAAATACACAACAGGAAAATGTTGTATATTTGCCCCGGTATTTTAGTTTTGTATATTTACCCCGGTATTTTAGTTTTGTATATTTACCCTGGTATTTTAGTTTTGTATATTTACCCCGGTATTTTAGTTTTGTATATTTGCCCCGGTATTTTAGTTTCATGGAAACACTTTAATTGTATCATAAAAGCCAGAGAAGGTTTACTACTTTGCAGTTCCTAAAAAACCACGTATTTCTCATAAGCCTTAAACTTAACAGGGAGGTTGAAATACAATTTTAATTAAATCCTGGTCCACAAGGTGTTCAAGAAAATGGTTTTAAAGCTATTTATGATGCTTTAAAACACGGGATAAAGATATCTTTAGGAGTTCAATTATGTAAAAAGTGCTTTGATCTATATTTTATCTTTTTTTAAGTTTAATTTTGGTTTGTATTGATAAAATGTTCACATAGATTCAGCCTCTTTAAAAAGTTTCATTAATTTCAAAGATAGGGTTGACTTTGAAGCGTCGCAAAGCCTTGGGCTTTAAATCATACCGCTCTAACTCACTTATGCTTTCTGTATTCCTTTACATGTACAATTTAACATTATATAAAGCACTTGTTGCTAGCTTTAGTTTTTAGAAAGCAATTGGTAAAATTCTCATCGTTTTTTTGCTTGAGAGCTTGAGATCTCTAAATCATGGTGTGTTACTGACATCTGATTCTCAATTGGATATTTGTAGTCAACCTAGGGCAGGGCATGTTTAGACTTTTTGCTTAGTTGAAATAGCTAACCGTTAACGAATTTTCAGAAAGCTGTGCGTTCTTAGCTAAGGCTATTTTCCGTTCTTCACCAAAGTTAACGATGGTTAATGTTATCTTTTTAACAACTTTAACGGAAGATATTTTAGAAATGATTAACGGCACCAATCGTTATTGAGCCTTTAACGATAATTTCATATAAAATAGTGGGGAAAATTAGAAGACAACATTCAAAGCCGTCAAAATTCAAAACATTTAAAAATCAAAACCATTAAAATACATAAACTTTTTTATTTTCTGTAAATTTAATATTACGGTTATTTTCGTTCGTTGAAAATTTAAAAAAAAACGGTTTTTGTTCTTTTAAATCTTCCGTTAATTTTCAAAAACTTGCCGTTAGCATACGTTAGCATACGTTAGCCTACGTTAGCATACGTTAGCATACGTTAGCATATGTTAGCATACGTTAGCATATGTTAGCATACGTTAGCATACGTTAGCATACGTTAGCATACATTAGCATACGTTAGCATACGTTATCATACATTAGCATACGTTAGAATATGTTAGCATATGTTAGCATACGTTAGCATATGTTAGCATACGTTAGCATACGTTAGCATATGTTAGCATACCTTAGCATACGTTATCATACGTCTGCGTGATTTTATTTAATTTGGTATTTATGGAAGTAGTTATAAAAAGTCTCTCTGGAGAAACATTTGATCGGAACAATTTTTTACTTGTCAAAAGTCTTTTTAGAATTATGTTGAATTATGGTGTTGTTTTGTCCTACCCCTCATAAACAATGTTTTTACTTTAAATGCTAGAGAGAAAAGAGGCAAATTTAACATTTTTTTTCGGTCTTAAATTTAAATTAATTATGTCCCGGAGAAAAAAATTTCTGAACGCAATTTATTTTTCTTCTTTATGAGTTGAAACCTCAGTCATTTATTCTATTATGCATATTACATTTTTGCAATGCTGAAACTTACGCAATTCCCGTGTGTTACGAAAATTAAGTGTTAGGGCCAAGTATCCCATGAAATATTTACATGGCGTAGTACACTTAATTTATTTATCCCACAAAACTACACTAAATTCTAGTCAGTGACTGTGGCTGTGCTGGTTCGTATATTTTTATTAAACGCTAAACACTGCTTTATTTCAGTATTAAATGATCCAAAAATAACTTGATTTGTAACTTATTCTTAAAATACAATTTTGAAATAAATCCTTTATCAATTTGTATATATCTATCGAAAACGACAAAATTCTACCATATTCTGGTCGTTAATGTATATATATAATGTATATATATATTTGTACAGGGGTGGGGAAGAGGGGTATCCAGTGCTTAGAATACGGATCCGTTGGATCCGAAATATTTTGGATTCCTGATTCCGAATCTGTATTTGAAATTTGGGAAACTAGAAATCATAAAATTATTGACTTGATAGAAAAAAAGGAACAGAACTGGGAACTTTTAAATGGGATATCCTTAATCCCAATCGGTTAATTAACCTAGAGATTAATAACAATGGGAGAACAAGTCATATTTAATCTGGAAATTAAGAAAAGTGGAGGAACAAGCATTATTTAACCTGGAGATTAAGAAAAAGAGGAGATCAAGTATTGATCTCGATATCCACCATTCTAAAGTTGTCAGCTTAGGTAATTTGTAGATATTTAAAATGGAAGTTGAAGAATAATGGAATTTTAAAATAAATTTATTCATTTCTAAGTAGCTGATCCAAAAGAATTACTTTTTGTCAAGCAAAAAGAGATTTATATGTTTACAGAGAACGTATAGGATAATTGATTATGTAACCAAGACAATTTCACAATCACCGTTTGTATAATAAGCATCCCAAAAACTACTGTCGACCAAAAGTGTGTACTGTGCATGCCCCCTCCCCCTATTCCACCCCCCCCACGCCCCTTTCCTCCTTCCCCGCCTTTACTAAACCCACTAATGAAATAAAATATTTTGAAACATATGACATCTTTTTAAAAACATGAATTGTCACTAAAAGCCTGATGAATATATATAGTCGATCCCCCTCCCTTGACTTTTCGGTATGGTCAGTTTAAAATGGTCCGAGCTTTAAGGACTGAGACTTTAATATATGTTTAGACTTGAAGAACAGGATAAAGGGTTCCAGTCTTAGACTCTATATATTGTCCCATCTATGATTTAAAACATTACTCCTAGTCTTAGACTCCATAGTGTATATATATATATATATAGTCACATCAACGATTTAAGACATAACTCTTAAACTACATTTCTAGTCCAATGCCTGATTCAAAACATTACTCCTAGTCTTAATATTTTACTCCCATTAAAGATTTGAACCTCCCAAAGCGTTTACGATAATTACATAACATTAGTTTTCACCAACGTAAAAATTGAAATTTGGTAGTTTTACGGATAAAAACGGTGAATTTTAAACATTTTTACAAATCATCCAATTTTTGTTATGCAATCTCTATTCGAACAAAGATTAAGTAAAATAGTGCTTTACATAGCGTTCAACCTAAAATGGTGGTTACTATATCTTTGAAAAATTTATGAGCAAATGAATGAATTTCAGTATCGAAAGGTCCCATGCTTCTTAATTTAACAGTACAACATTTTAACACTTTTCCTTACCTCTGATGTGTCTTGAGTTTAGTCTGCTTTCTCTGTTCCTTCCCTCATTCTCTCTTCCTTCTCCAACCTTCTCCTTCTCCCCGTCTCCCTGCCTACCTTCCTCCTCCTCATCCCCCTGTCTCCCCTCTTCTCCGTCTGAGCTGTCAGAAGCATCACCATTTACAGGCCAGGACTGAACTCGGCTTGCGCGCTAAATAAATGTTAATTTGAAAGAGTAATACAAAGGTTGAAACTTATGAACGATGATTTCCAAAGGTATTTATCTAAATCCGTCGAACAACAGAAGATAAAAATCAGGTATTCAACAATTTTGCGAGAGTCGAGACCCATAAAACTTCGAAATAGGAAGACGACATTTATGCAGTCGGATGTATTTAAGAACAAAACAAAATTGTTTTACCAGCTTGTCTTATAAATCAATGTTTATAATTTCGAAAACAATTTATTTTCAGATTTGATTTCTCTACAAACGTAATTTGCGTGTTTCTATGACAGGAAAACATGTAGGAAATATCAGAATTTAAAACTTTTAAACCTAGAAAAATTACAATTTCTTCCACAGATAAAAGTTTCAAGGGTATCGTGACTCGGGTCACTTAAAATTACGTTTACAGTCCCTTTAAAATCATGAAATAAGAGAGTGATTATTAACTTTTCAAACTTTTTAAACTATAAACAGAATAATTAAAATTAATGTAAAATATTTTGAAAATTTTAATAACCCCACATTTTTTTTTTCATTGGATTCATGTTTATTGTACGGTGTAGAATTGGGGCACTATTTATTTAATTTATATGTTTAAAAACAAACGTAACATATAAATAAATATCAAATTAACTATTTCCATGGAACATATAGTTCCAATTCAAAACGACGGAAACAAAAATAAAACTCCGAAATATCGTTAAGAACCCCATTTTGTAATTGTATAACTGTTGGAATGATCTGCAATTCTCAGTACAGTGCTTATAATCGAAAGTTGTATAAATCGGCCCATATCGATATATATATATATATAAATATATAACTTTGAAGCAATAATCAGAGGATAGCTATTTATATATACAGTGATAACCAGAAAACTCTGAAATAGAAAGACTACTTTATAGCAATACTTAAGCTTATTTGATGTTGTTAAAAGCCAAATGGTTTTACTAGACACAATCACCAATTAAGTGAAATGGATCTGTTTACACTGCACAACTGCTGTTTCCCATGCTCTGGCTCATAATTAAGTGAAATGGATCTGTTTACACCGCACAACTGCTGTTTCCCATGCTCTGGCTCATAATTAAGACTATTTTAAGTTATAACTTGAGTCTAAAAGTTGTCTTCCAATTCCAGAGTTTTCTGGTTATCATTGTATAGATACATATCTATGCTCTGATTATTGCTTCATAGTTATAAGTATGTAAATATATACTTATCTTGAATTTAAAACCTTTTTCCTTGAAACGATTTTTAACAAAAATTAAATTAAAATCAATCTTTCAAACATACTTGACGAAAAGTCGGATGCTCGTTTTACTCGTGTAACCCTGTGTATTGCTTGTCTGTGCTGTAGGAATCCAATTTAAAAATTAAAAACGAAAGAAAATTTGATTAGGAATTGATCTAAAATTTACCCCTTTGATCGCTGCGAATACTGGAACAGAGAGTGTATCCTGGAATGTGGCAAGGACAGGCTGATCTATATTATTATTACTACAATCCATCTCAGCCCCCAGAATAATCTGAAATCAGAAAATTGATTATCATGCTTTACATTAAATATTGTAATTATCAAATTCCGCAGAATATATAAAATTCATAATAGAAAATGAAAAGTATTTATTAACTGGACTGTGGAGTTCAGACATAGTTTCAAGTGATATGTTATTTAAAAAGAGGCGCATGTCCGATTCACAATGGTTCTATTCAAACTTTTATCTGATTAGTACACAGAAACTACCCTTCTTGATGGTACCTTGTTGGTAATGAAAAACTACAGGTTAAGGGTATTGCGACAATTTAAAAACAACGCGGTCTTAACATTTGATGCATAAATTTCAAAGTGACTATCTATCTTTGTGTCTCAATACCTGGCTAGTAGCGGCCTCGTATATCCTGTTTTCCCAGGAGGGAACCTTGTGTAAAGGAGGAGCAGGAGCTGAAGGAGGAGATGGAACAGGAGCTGGAGCAGGAACACTGCAGGACGGAGCTGATCGGACGGATACAGATCTAACTGAAGAACAGGCAGACATCGACTCATTTCCTGATTAAATAAACTTGTATTTCAAGTGAACACTGAACACCTATATAAAGAGTTGGATGCAGGATGCACAATAGTACCCGTCAAATTAGTAAAATATTATTGTTTTTCAATAAGTTGAATTCTGATAGTTAATTTTTTTCCTTCAAAATGATTATTTAGATAAAACCCCATTTGTTTAAAGTGTTTAAAGTGTAAAAGTGTTTAAAGTGTTTAAAGGGTAACGGTGTGACTGCAGACATGCACCTTCTCAAATGGTTCCAACACACAAATTAAATCAACAGCTCCTTCAAAAAGAAATGCATTAGTTTGAATTTATTTTAAGAGATGTTTATGAGCAACTGCAACCATCCATGGCAAAAACAACCAATTCATAACATTAACCGACCCTATATAGAATAAAATAAATATTTTGGATACCTGACATTGCCGATACCATATGTTCATCCCATCGATCTCTAGGATCTGTGGGTGTAAAGATCTCACTGTAATCACTGTACTCTTCACTCATGACAGGACCAGCCTATAAACAGTATATCCCGTGTTGAAAGGGACTGTTCAGGTAACATAAAAGGACCAGCCTATAAACAGTATATCCCGTGTTTAAAGGGGCTGTTCAGGTAACATAAAAGGACCAGCCTGTAAACAGTATATCCCGTGTTTAAAGGGGCTGTTCAGGTAACATAAAAGGACCAGCCTATAAACAGTATATCCCGTGTTTAAAGGGGCTGTTCAGGTAACATAATAGGACCAGCCTATAAACAGTATATCCCGTGTTGAAAGGGGCTGTTCAGGTAACATAAAAGGGAATCTAGGCTGAAGCCTATAATGTTTAGAAGTTGATCGCTACCAATATGACGATCTGATGTCCCTGTTTCGATAAATTTATATAAAGCTGTGTAATATGAAAACTCATATATATGTGATACGTTATTTGAATCAAAGTTTTACACAGATCATATTCAGCAAATATTGAACGAATCTGAAAATTAAATTACCCAGAGGTGCCTAAAAATTTTAGGTGCGCTTCTAACATAATTTGAATTTGATAATTTTACATTTGTAGGTTACCTTTAAAATTTTACATTGTACTTTTGATTAAATTTTTTTGGCCGCTAGGTGTCTCTGCTTAGTAAAATCCTTGAAATATTGAGAGTAGAGACACCTTGCGGTCAAAAAATCGTCATTAAAAGTAATGTTGAAGGAATCCTAAAATTGAAAACTTACAACACTTTTATATTAATTTCGAATTAATTATTATTAATTTAGGTCTTTGAATCCTGCATTATTTGCTTTTGGGCGAGATAAAGCTATTTAAACTCTACTTTGTACAATCTTTCATTTAAAACTCTTAAGAAACTATTTGATTTATTGTCTTACTCTGTTAATTCTTTTAAACATTAAACACAGTCAAATTGTGATTCATATAAACAATTTTATAAAAATCTCTTATCATATGATTAGGCTGCACTTTTACATGATTACTCTACTCGTTAATATTTGATGATTAGTCCCTTTCTACTAAAAGCTATGATCTGTTCAAATTTTAAAAGTTCAAACTAATTAAAAGTTTAACATGAACTTTTTATCTGATAGATGTAAAATGTTTTAGTAGTAGTTGGTGTTCTTCTTATATNAGGGGGGACGGGGTTGTATGAACAATTTTATAAATAATTGTTTATTTGGAACGTAAACCTTTTAAAAATAAACATATACATACCTGACAAGTAGAAGACGAATGGGTATCTCCTGAAAATTAAGAAAAATAAAGGATTTTTTAGTGGAGTCGCTCTTTTTGAGACTTAACAAAAAAAAGGATGAAACATGCCTAGATTCTGTAGGTAAAATAACTCCACACGTGTTAAAGAAAAAAATTGATTTTTCATCTTTCAAAAATAGAGTGCAAGATCTGAAATATTTAAGATTCAAACGTAAAGCCAGCCAAAAAACTATTAAAATATCAGATGCAAAAATGTGCCATATACAGAATTCCAAAGTTAGTTCTCGCTTGCTTATATTTACGTTGCCGCTATTTTGTAATTTATATGTAATTTAAATTGTAGAATCAAAAACTGAAACCGGCTTTGAGAAACTAACATTCCTATTTCAAGCTTCTCACCTGATTTTTGTTTATTCCTTGGTGGTGGAATGGGAATGCTAAACCTAGCTGAAGGCATAACTAGGTCCAGTGCATCATCTAAGGCTTCAAGTGGACTTTTAGGACTTTTAAGCTCACTCATATCTTCTAAATTACTCTTGAAATGGCTCGGATCGTCCAGAGGGGTCTCAAACTCAACAGAGAGTGAGTCAATTCTAAATAATAATTTAGCTTATCAAGAAATTGAGAAATAGAACAACTTACATCCTTAACTTGTAAATTATCTGAATGTCTTTACTTAGAATCCCTATTAACCTTTCTCTTAAAGGGATTATATGAATCACCAAACGTATCCTAATCCCTTTAACACCAGCTCCCTTACTTCATACATTCCCTTTGATCTTAGTTCCATAATTGCCTAAAATTTTATAAACTTGGCGAATTAAACTTCCTAAAATTTCTTCAATAAACCTAGCTCCATAAACTACCTAAACAGCCTTGAATTCCTTATCTACATTGAAACCCTAATCTACCTTAAATCCTTAATCTATCTTCAATCCCTAAACTACCTTGAATCCCTAATCTACCTTGAATCCCTAAACTACCTTGAATCTCTAATTTTCCTTGAATTACTTAGCTGACTTGAATCCCTAAACTACCTTGAATCCCTAAACTACCTTGAATCCCTAGTCTACCTTGAATCCCCCAACTACCTTGAATCCCTAAACTACCTTGAATCCCTAGTCTACCTCGAATCCCCCATCTACCTTGAATCCCTAAACTACCTTGAATCCCTAGTCTACCTTGAATCCCCCATCTACCTTGAATCCCTAAACTACCTTGAATCCCTAAACTAATTAGAATCCATAATCTACCTATAATCTCTAATCTACCTTGAATCCAAAATCTTCCGTGTTTTCATAAAATACCTTGATTCCTAATCTAACTAAAATCTCTCATCTAACTTGAATTCCTAATATACCTTGAATCCCTAATTTACCTTGAATCCCTAATTTACCTTGAATCCCTAAACTACCTTGAATACCTAATCTAACTTGAATCCCTAATCTACCTTGAATCCCTAAACTACCTTGAATCCCTAGACTCTTAAATCCCTAAACTACATGGAATCCCTACACTACCTTGAATCCCTAATCTACCTTGAATCCCTAAACTACCTTGAATCCCTAAACTACCTTGAATCCCTAAATTATCTTTAATTCCTGAACTACACCTTGAATCCCTAAACTACATTGAATCCCTAAACTACCTTGAATCCCTAAAATACCTTGAATCCTTAAACTCTTGAATCCCTAAACTACCTTGAATCCCTAATCTACCTTGAATCTTTAAACTCTTGAATCCCTAATTTACCTTAAAACCCTAAACTACCTTGAATCTCTTGACCTAGAGGATCCTGAGTATGAGGAAGGAGTAGTTTTACTTTGAACTCTAGGCTCAGCACTCCTAGATCCTCGTTCTTCTTTACGCCGAGACGGTTCAACCTTACAACATTCTCCAGGATTAAGAAGAACTGGCTGGGACCAGATTTAATAAAAAGCAAGACGGAGTTGAACTAAGTAGACTTAGTTAAACCACTCTTGAGCTCTAGTTCAAGTAGAGGGGATGTGGTTCAGCTAAGTCTGCGAACTCCTTCTAACTTTTCATTAACCCTATCACGATTGGGCTCTTTTTATCTTATATAGATTGGGGAGGGGGATTGATGATATGATTTTGCCCTTAAGAGTTGAAATAGGGAAGTGTGACACAAGTACATTGTCGATAAACTAACTTTTCAAGACCTACTCATAAAAAAATTAAACCGCTAATTTTATGGGTGCAAGGGAGGCTTTTTAAAAAAAGTTCAAAAAGTGCACTAGAGAAATGTTGAAAAATACTTCTTTTCCTTAAATTTGACGAATATTATCATATGACTTGATTTTTGTTAGAAAACACTGACCGTTTTTTTACAACTATGAAGTTGAACAAGAGATTCCCCCCCCCCTCCCTCTCTTCATCGTAATAAGGTTAAATGTGGTCCCAGGTATGAAAAGAGACTAAAAACAACCAATGAATGGGCGATTTCAATCCCCCCCCCGCCCCCCTACCCTCAAGGTTTGTCCTTTTATATATATTTCAAGAAATTAAATTCTGAAGATTGTTTTCATCTTAAAACATGAATCTTTTATTTAAAAAAGGTGTTTAATTATCAATTGATCGTGATAAGTTTTCATTTAACATAAAACAGGGGTCACAAAAAAAAAATTTCAAATAGAAAAATGATTTTTACCTTGGCATAGAGCGGATCTGTAGAGGCAGAGGTAGTAGGAAGTTTAGACAAACGTTTCCTGATAATTCATTCAGATTTTGATTTATTATTAGAATTTTGGGACAAACTTATCTAGATTTGATCTGAATTTTGGATAGGGATTTCACTAGATGAATGCAATAATTGGAAAACGATTATTATTTTTATGGTAAATTTCATAAGACGAGCAGTTTAGAAACTGCAGTATATTATGTGTTGAAGCAATTTTGAACACATTAAGTTCGTGTTTCCAATTAAAATGTTTCAGAAGTAAGTCTGATAGTTTCCATAAATAATATAGTTACAAAATTGAAAGCTTTATGTAACATGTGTTTATGTAAATCTGCACAACACGTACTGTAACATATTTCAACAAATATTTTAAAACCATATTCCCGTTTTGTTCACTCAAAGTTAAAATATAAATATATTATCATAATAATAAAAAAGATAAAAATCAGTGCTGGGTCCGCAACATTTCCTCCTCCCGGATCCGGATCCGCAAAAATATGCTCTAAAAATGTTGAACTCAAAACGCAAATCAAAATTGTTCACTACAAATTTAGATTAACAAAAGTTTCAAAATTTCTGGTTCACAGTTCAGCCAAAAAGAAAAAAAATAGATAAATACACTAATAATAATATTATCAAATGTTAAGATTCCTTGACTGAGAAGTTAGGCTTCCTTCACTTCTTCGATCTGTTTTCCTGTATCCTCTTCCCCTACTTCCCCTCCTTTCCTCACTTCCTCCTTCCTCATCCAAACTCCCGATTGAAGAATCCTTAAATGACATAAAATGAGTTGGTACAGGATGGAATATGAGTTGGTACAGGATGGAATATGAGTTGGTACAGGATGGAATATGAGTTGGTACATGAATATGAGTTAGTACAGGATGGAATATGAGTTGGTACAGATGGAATATGAGTTGGTACAGGATGGAATATAAGTTGGTGCAGAGACTAAACACTTCAGTATTTAAGAAAATCTAAAAGAACCCAGGTAGATTCAATTTCTAAAATATATTCCATTTACGAAATAATTCATGACAAAGATGAATTATTTTTTCCATTATGTTTTTGTGAGATGAGATGAGAAAACAATATTTACTTTCTTGCGTGATCAAAAATAATTAAGTATAAAATGTAAAAGTAATTCTATTTACATTCAGTTCATTTCCCTCCACCTCATGCAGTGAATAAATATAAGTTTTGAGAATATTAAGTCAAGAAGTAGTAGAAAAAGGGTTTAAATCTTCTCTAAAACTTTTCACAAAAAGCTTAGAAAATAAATTGACGGAAACAAGGTTAAAACGAATTTTGAAATGATTTAAATGAAACTAACTTCAAGACTGTCTCTGGTTCTTCTATCCTCTTGCATTCGTTCTAGTTGTGCTCTTAACAACTCCATCTAGTTAAAACATTATAATCCAAGACTTAATATTTTAATTGACCTAAACTGAGATCAATATATATTTGAATAGAACAAATATTTTTATAGAACTTTCTTGGCTGTTACGTACCAAAGAATGAACCAGTATTGAAATAACTTTTTAACTTGTATTCGATATTTCTGTAAACTTGCCCCCTCCGTTTATATTTTTCAGGAACATTTGAATTGAAACAAAATTGCTATAAAATTCGATAAAATCCGGACCGCAAAAGCCGTCACAAACTTAATCGACCAGATTTATTCTGTTACTTCATTTGCGGTTCGGCCGAAAAACGGGTGCGGTGTGCCTTCCCTCTCTCATTGGAAAGTGTTTCTATGTTTTTCTTCACATATTACTGGATACAAATAGTTATATTACGCATAAATCTTATACACGTGTATTCTGCGCTAGATCAGGATATGAAAATCCACGCATCGATATCTATTAATACGTGAATGGATATACATGGATTGTCAATGCGCAGTGGACATCTAGTATTGCCCATTTATTTTGGCAATACTTGTAGCAATAGGTATAGGGAAACAGTTCATATTTTAGCAATACTTGTAGCAATAGGTATAGGGAAAACGGTTCATATTTTGGCTATACTTGTAGCAATAGGTATAGGGAAAACGGTTCATATTTTGGCAATACTTGTAGCAATAGGTATAGGGAAACGGTTCATATTTTGGCAATACTTGTAGCAATAGGTATAGGGAAACGGTTCATATTTTGGCAATACTTGTAGCAATAGGTATAGGGAAACGGATCATATACCGGCTCAATGCATGTTTCTTTATCATGTTTCCTCAAATCACAACTGCGTAAAATATTTAAATTTAGAGTATTTACGCAGGTTTTCTTCTTTAAATGTAGAGTATTTACACAGGTTTTTTTTCTTTAAATTTAGAGTATTTACACAGGTTTTCTTCTTTAAATTTAGAGTATTTACACAGGTTTTCTTCTTTAAATTTAGAGTATTTACACAGGTTTTTTTCTTTAAATTTAGAGTATTTACACAGGTTTTTTTCTTTAAATTTAGAGTATTTACACAGGTTTTTTCTTTAAATTTAGAGTATTTACACAGGTTTTTTTCTTTAAATTTAAAAAATTGAAATTTGTCTTATAAAATCTATTTGGACAAAGGTTGGTTTGTAAATTTCATTTCGCGACATATATAAATAAAAACAATTCAAGATATTTTCATAAATTCAAAACTTTAAAGCTTTAAACAAAACTGCAGAAATACATCTAATAAAGTTGCATGAAAGAAATATTTTGGAATAAACGGCTTTACGGAGAAAACTCTAAGCAAAGTTGAAAATTTGAAGAAAAAAATAATTGGAAAAAAACCGTTTTAATTTCTCTAGCAACTATTTCTGTAATTCTATAATTTTTTCTTGGGACTTTATAGAAAAGAAATTCAGATTTTTTTCAAATAAATTGTTCTAATATGACTTTTATTATATGTATTGTTTGTTACCGTTTTGCAGTACACTAACCTGCTGGTTGCAGTACGCATTCTGTTGCTTCAAATGCGTATTTTGTTCCTCAAGCTCGCGTAATTTATTCGTCACCCAGTCCTATCCACGCACATATTTAATTTTAACGCTTCAAACTTTTGAAAAATGGTTTAAATCTTAAAATGTTGCTTATATCTTTAAAATTGAACGAATGTTACAGTAGGGCCCGAATAAATGTTAATTATACTTTTTAAAAAGCCCAATTAACATGCAATCAAAGAGAATAGAATATTAGAGTGGAATTTACTAGAAAAAAGTGTAAAACGGCCATTTTGTTGTACTGTTTCCATACTGCAGGTGTACTTCACATATTTATGCTATAACCTTTTGGGCCCTGGAACATCATTTTATAGACAATCTAAAATTAATATTAAAAGAAAACCAGATTATGAAATATGCTGGTTTCATAATTGACCAATGATCATTTCACATAGACTCTATGCCTTTCACTTTACAAACGATGATTTTCCGTTATAACTAAAAATAAAATGATGCTTTTTATTCACCTTATTCATTATAAAGTTTATTTAACAGCTTTAAAAATTCGAAATTGAAATGAATAGTCTAGGGAACATACTGTATTAATGTACTCTACTGCATATAATTTGTGAACATTTACATGATTTGTACACTTTGAACTTCCTTTCCGGCTGAAAGGGACTGACAAAATTCATACCGAGGGATTGTCTAAATTCCACCCTTATATATATTCTATTCTCTTTGCATCCAACACAGCAAATATGCATTTTATTTTTGCAACTGATTTTCAAGCAAAACAATAAAGCTATTGGCTTAACAACAACACCAAATACTCACGCTTAAATGTAATTTTTTATTTATTTCACAATATTACGGGTCCATCTCCGTTTCTCTGATTACTTGGTTTTTATCGTTAAACGCATTGATCCTTCATTTCCAGTTTGTGCAAACCTTTATAAACTTTATTAATTTTATTCCTCGAGATATCACGATATGATCAAACCCTGCAGAAATAATTTAAATTGAGTAATCAAGCACTTACTTAAAAATAGCAAATATATCCGGGGGTTGCAAGAGGTACACGACCTAATTTTCCTAAACCGGCTGAAGAGCGCACATGCGCGCGCGTTGATGATATGAAATTAAAGTTATTGGGTACATTCCCTCTAAGATTACCTATCTTTGAAAATGAAATAAGCGTAGATACAGGGGAAATATATTGTATAACCTATGGGGGGGGGGGTAGGAGCCTAGTGGCAACATTAAACATTAAACATTAAAACATTTTATAGGTTACTTTTTAAAATTAAAGTTAAATCTTTGTACTTTCACATACATATATTTGAGTGCCCCTGTGCTGTTGTTGCATAATTCTGACATTTATAACATTCTCCACTATATTGTAACCTTAAGCTTCTACCATTAGACATACATACTACATAGCCACTAATACCTATCTATTTGACTCATCTGTTTGTTGGTATCGTCAAAACGACTAAACCGATCAAAACGATTGTGGTGACCCAGGGGTGGCCGAAAAGAAAACTTTAAGAATTGACTAAACGAATGATTTTAAGGCTCTTTTTCATTAGAACTACAATCATCATACGGTCATTTGTCCTACAATCATCTGTCCTACAGAGAAGGAATAACACCATTTTTCCTACACTTCAATTGTACTCTTCACATCAATTGTCCTATAAAGAGAGAACCATTATTTGTCCTTCAATGCAATTGCACTCTACATTATTTGTTCTACAGAGAGGGGATACAATGATTTGTCCAACAATTTATAACATCATTTGTTCTATAAAATTATTTAACAAGTTAATTGAATTTCTTTTAATATGTTAAATAATAAACTGTCATCTCACCTTATATTGGGTTAGGTTACGAAAATTTCTGGGCCGAGCGCTGCCGCTAAGATGGGCTAAAGGGCCGAGCGCTGCGCCCTCTTAAATGGTAAATAATATGCTGCCTCTCCCCTTAATTTAGTTTAAGTTGGCTTTAGACAATTTCTGGTCCGAGCGCTGCGGCTAAGATTGGCTAGAGGCCGAGCGCTGCGCCCTCTTAAATGGTAAATAATTGGCTGTCTCTCAACAAAAAAAAAATGCCCGTTTTTACTTTTTTGACCCTATGTCGTTTTTTACCCTTAGTACGTATATTTACTTGCTCAATATAAATAGAATGTAACATCAGTTATATATATGTGTATATATTTTATGATGTGTAAGACAAATGATGTGTAGGACAAATGATTTTTAGGACAAATGATTCGTAGGACAAATGATTTGTAGGACAAATGATGTGTAGGACAAATGATTTGTAGTACAAATGATTTGTAGGACAAATGATGTGTAGGACAAATGATGTGTACGACAAATGATGTTTCCCTTACTCTGCAGGAAAAATGTTGTGTAAGACAAATTATATGCCATAGTGCCTTTTTTAATGTACACTAATTTGAACAGAAAAAAAAACAGAAAACGGCAAAATAATGGCGGATTTTGTGGTACTTGAAGTAAACCTGGGGTCTTAGATTTATGTTTTACTGTTTTATTTATACATCATAAGGTGAATATTTCAAAAGTTAAAATTTCAAAATTCTTCCTTCATATTTAAACTTCAAATGAAATGTTTAAAAATTTAATATTTAATATTTAATAGGTCACTTTGCAACTTTTGTTATCTCCTTTATGAAAAGATTCTTAAAGAGACTGTGAGCGTGATTTGTAATGACCCTCCATGCAAAATGTCATGGCCGAGTCCAACCGAATCTTTAAAACCTTAATCTGATCAAAAATTTGAAAGATAACGTCATTTTTCTGACTCGAAAATGTTTCATTCCGATAATTCCGCAATTGAAAACAAACAGTTCAAAGGAAAAAAACATTGATATCAAATTAGTATTTGATCAGACAAAGCTTTCAAGGGTACCGTTGTTAATCAGCCATATTGCCATCTTTTCATAAAGAGTCAATTCTGCTTACATTCACTTTAAACAAATAATTATAATTTGGTTTTAGATATGTTCCTTGATTCTAGCAGCTTTTATAAATATTAACCTGTGACTCCACTTCTGATTCTAAGGATTTTATTATGGTCTCTTTCTCCATTACTAACTTCTAGAAATAGTATTTGTAAAACATTTTCAAACCGAAATATATTTCACACATTAAATTGTCTCATTGGAACTGTATAATCAAATTTTAGTGTTCATAATAAATCAGTGCTTAGGATCCATTTAATTTTGAAACACATGATCCGCACTGGAAAAAAAGGATCCAGAGAATCTGAGTATCCACTGGAAACACTTTTGATTTTCTTCTTAAACTGTTCTTTGTTGGATATAGTACAGAAAAATCAAAAACTGGTTTTTAAAATTAGAGAGTTCCTCCTGTTTCTGTATATTAATCTTAAATGGCTTGCAAAATTTCAAATTTATCGGCTTCATATACGCGACTCTGATTGGTTGAATTTTATACACTTTTTAAGATACAAGTACAAGATTAAATTAGTCTCGGTATTAAGAAAAAGAGACGATCAAGCATTAATCTCAATATCCACCATTCTAAAGTATTCAGCTCAGGTCATGTACTTTTTCTGATCAAGCTGTTTAGGCTCCACTGGGTCATCGACTATAGTAATTTTTAGATTCGTTGCGTATTTGCTGAATGTGATCTGATAAAAACTTTTCAATATGTACTAAATCTCATATTTCTAAGTTTTGGTATAACGTTGACACAGTTTTAAATCAATTTCTGCAGAGTTACCCACAAAGGATGAGATTTGAGAGACGAGTGCACGGAACGTAAACTGTCTGTTCCCTTAAAATCATGAAACCCTGCAACTACAGACTTCTTTCTTTCTTTGTCAACTCGTTAGTTACGCCTTTAGAAGACTATATTCAAGACAGAAGACTAAATTTAATCTTGGAATCCTTATATTTACAGAGATTTTGGTCGTCTTTGCAGCCTCATCCTTTGTGGGTTAAACTATACATGTAGTGTTGCTACAATGGTTGTACAAACACTACACTGTACACTGTACACTGTACAGCACCAAACCTGAAAAGTTTCCGCTTGTTGTGATATTTCCGACGGAGTCCAGTCTATTTCCTCAAGTCGTCTTATCAGAATTTGAACCTAAACAATTTTTGTGCGTTAGGGGGACGACTAAATTAAACTTACTAAATATTAAAAATGATTAGATTAGAAGAACGATCGCTGACAGGGGTCCATATCATTCCATCTAATCTAATACGATCCCAAATGCTGATTGATTGATATTAGGTAAAACCGCCAAAAAAGTCCTGGGAAAAAAAGTTTCCGGAAAACGTCCTAAAATTTCACACTAAAAAAGTCCTGTGGAAAAAAGTCCTTTTATTAAATAGTCTCCGGAAATAAAGTCCTACCAAGTCGAGACTTTATTTTCTAGGACTTTTTTTCTGGCTCCAGTATGATTTTATACAAAAAAGTCCTCGGAAAAAAAGTCCTCTATGCTCTTACAAGTGAAAAAGCATGATTCACAATGGAAAAAAGTCCTGGTCGTAAACATCCTATCAATTGTCTACACAATTGGATCATTCCAACACACTCCTAGATTTGGCCGTCGTAAAATATATTCTATCTAGCTGTCCTTCCTTTTGGTCGGCAGCGGCTTCTGTTCATTATGTCTATCTTTGTACTCGACATTTCGATCAGAATTAGACAGGTCGAAACTCGAACTAATGAACATAGGCCATTGGCCAAGCTAGGGTATAGATGTGAAAGGACAACGCTATTAAGGGGGAACCATCTTTAACCATTACCACCAGTGAACTCCCACCGTTTCAAAGTTTTATTTTCCACGCCAAAAAGTTCCTTATTCCGACAGATGTTGTCATATTATTCATTCATTTTACCGGTAGTTAATTTTGATATGTACTTTTCTTCCTTTTTTCACTTTTCCAATTAGCAAATGTTTCATTTCAATAATTTTCGTTGTTTACAAAACAATTTTTAATCTTCTCTGCACCCTCTTAGAGGGAGGGGGAGGGTATTTTGTTTGTGGAGATAAGGAGTGTTGGGTGGCATTCTATTTGTTTTCTTGACGGGGGGGGGGATATATCATCCGAGTCTTATAAAATGTGCGCAGATAGTTTAGATTATAACAGGATTTTAAAAAGATGTTTTTGCAATTTTCAATTTAATCCTGTCTGTAGGGGTGCTGACTGCAGATAATAGGGAATCCCCCCTCTCCTTCATCCCCCGGTACAATAATGTCACAATAAATGTTTGATGTTCCTCGTCAAAAAATTCTACAAAATGCTAATGCTTGCAAACATGTCTGTATGAAAAGTTAAAACAGAAAAATATTCAAAATTTTAGTTTAAACTGTAGCTTTTGTGATTTCATAGTTTTCAAATTATTTGTTTTATATTGAGTTGAATAACCAGATTTTTATTTATTTCATTATTGCATTGGGTATTTATCAAATCTGAGATTGGTGTGCAACCTGCAGCAACCTTCAACACATATTTATCATTATTAAACCAGATGCACGAAAATATAAATGCAACCACTCTATTCCAACTGCATCCACGTTAATCTAACTGCAACCACGCTTATCTAACTGCAACCATGCTAATCTAACTGCAACCACGCTAATCTAACTGCAACCACGTTAATCTAACTGCATCCACGATAATCTATCTGTAACAACGCTAATCTATCTGCAACCACGCTAATCTAACTGCAACCACGCTAATCTAACTGCAACCACGCTAATCTAGCTGTAACCTCGTTGATTTAACTGCAAGCACGTTAATTTATCTCCAACAACGCTAATTTAACAGCAACTAAGTTAATCTAGCTGCAACCACGCTAATCTAAAAGCAACCACGCTAGTCTAACAGCAACCACGCTAGCAACCACGCTAATCTAAAAGCAACCACGCTATTCTAAAAGCAACCACGCTAATCTAAAAGCAACCACGCTAGTCTAACAGCAACCACGCTAGTCTAAAAGCAACCACGCTAATCTAAAAGCAACCACGCTATTCTAAAAGCAACCACGCTAATCTAACAACAACCAAGCTAATCTAACAGCAACCACGCTAGTCTAAAAACATCCACGCTAATCTAAAAGCAACCACGCTAGTCTAAAAGCAACCACGCTTATCTAACAGCAACCATGCTAATCTAACTGCAACCACGCTAATCTAACTGCAACCACGCTAGTCTAACAGCAACCACGCTAATCTAAAAGCAACCACGCTAGTCTAAAAGCAACCACGCTAGTTTAAAAGCAACCACGCTTATCTAACAGCAACCACGCTAGTCTAACAGCAACCACTCTAGTCTAAATGCAACCACGCTTATCTAACAGCAACCAAGCTAGTTTAACAGCAACCACGCTAATCTAAAAGCAACCACGCTAGTCTAAAAGTAACCACGCTAGTCTAAAAGCAACCACGCTTATCTAACAGCAACCACGCTAGTTTAACAGCAACCACGTTAATCTAACTGCAACCACGCTTATCTAACAGCAACCACGCTAATCTAACTGCAACCACGCTAGTCTAACTGCAACCACGCTAATCTAACTGTAACAACGTTAATTTAACTGCAACCACGTTAATTAAACTCCAACTACGTTAATCTAACAGCAGCTTAGTTAATCTAGCTGCAACCACGCTAATCTAAAAGAAACCACGCTATTCTAACAGCAACCACGCTAGTGTAACAGCAATCACGCTAATCTAGCTGTAACATCGCTATAACACCGTTGATTTAACTGCAACCACGTTAATTTAACTCCAACCACGCTAATTTAACAGCAACTAAGTTAATCTAGCTGCAACCACGCTAATCTAAAAGCAACCACGCTAGTCTAACAGCAACCACGCTAATCTAAATCTAATCTAAAAGCAACCACGCTAGTCTAAAAGCAACCACGCTAATCTAAAAGCAACCACGCTAATCTAAAAGCAACTACGCTAGTCTAAAAGCAACCACGCTAATCTAAAAGCAACCACGTTAATCTAACTGCAACCACGCTAATCTAAAAGCAACCACGCTAATCTAAAAGCAACCACGCTAGTCTAACAGCAACCACGCTAGTCTAAAAGCAACCACGCTAGTTTAACAGCAACCACGCTAATCTAAAAGCAACCACGCTAGTCTAAAAGCAACCACGCTAATCTAACTGAAACCAAGATTATATAGCCTACTCCTGTATACCGAGTCCATTAACGCCTGATCCAATCATTGTTCAGTCATGTGTTTGATGTCTATTCTGAACCAATAGAAATAGTAATGCGGTAACATCTATCTTTCTATATATCTAATTATCCAATCAGAGATATGAATCCTTTCATCGGCGCTATCAGTAAATGGAAATATTTACTTCTACTGAAACTATGTTGAACCCCAACCACGTTAATGACTGCAAGCCCGCTTATCTAACAGCAACCTGAACAGAGAGAGGCACCATCACGGTTTAACTGGGGTTCAAGGCCATGAATTTCCATACTTTTTTGTTTAACGTGGGTATGTTTAATTATATACTTTGGAGTTTTGCATGGCTATTTCTAACTGATGCAATTTTGTATAATTATTTACTGAAGTTGGATACTTAACAATAACGTGAATTAAACTAGTATTATCCCAGATCTTTTTTCATGTAAGTCCATAAACACATAACAAGCATGAGAGAGAGGGGGAACCCGTTATTTATAACTTAAATTTCTTTTTTTGATATTTGATGTTATGCAGTATACACATTTTTAGTAGCTAACTCGAAAATACAACTCAAAACTAATAAAATCATTATATTAAACCGTAAAAAATTACCCTAGAACTTCCAAGATAAAAATAAAGCTAAAAATATTTTGTAATTTTAATTTTTTAAATAACTTTTAGTTATTGATTTCATTTAAGAGTTGTATTTTGTACCTGCTCTATTAAATACGTGATTATTTTTCATTTAATGCCCAGAATTGTTGATCTATAAAAACACCCCTGGCATTTTCTATCATTTTAAACTGAGAAAAGACTTGTTTTTAAAAACACTATTCACTAAGCTGAAAGCATACAGCTGACTCGTACAGAGGATGGTTCTCTAGGGACCCATAGTAAATATTTGCTAAGGTTAAGGTCACACAATACGTAATTGATTTAATAATTGTATTGCTTCTCTAACGTTTAAAAATACCATTAATACGATACAGATTTAGCAGTCTTGCTTGCTGAAATACTTTCTTACTTTTATAATGCTGTAGGGGTCCCTACGGCCACAGTACACTCTACCATCGGGGGATTAGAGGCCGCCATGTCGACTGTCAATTATCGATCTCTTTCGCAGATTTTGAACCAACCTAGGTGCCGTGGAGTTTCCCCCCCCCCCCTACCCTTCCCTCCTTTTCCCGATCGAAGATATATATAGGTTTAAACTCAAGTATACATTCATGTACTGGGTATACTTCATTCTAAGCTAGCTCATATTTCAAGTACATTTTTATTCTTGATATTCCAGGGGTGGGGGGAAGGTTTGCCTGGAACCCTGTCTGCCCCTTAAGCCCACAATTTTATACTTACTAACATACATTATATACAAACTACAAAAGATACAAACTATACATATACAAAGACGCCCATACATATTATATACAAACTATGCATATTTTTTTTTCAAAAGACATGCTTTTACATTTTAAGATAATTTCTAAACTCTTTCAATTTGTAGACCTCCATTTTTCTTAATACGACATCTTTTATGGGGTGAACAACTAGCGCAACGGGGGGAGATTGAACCACAAAAGCCACTTCCCCAGGGCGTAAACTCTAGAAGGCCCCTGAGTCCAGTACATGTATATATTATACATGTAGATAATAAATGTATACACCATATTTGTGTATAGCTACTTATTTTTCATGTATAAATTACTCCATTCCACATTTCCAGCCGAGTTGTGTTTAAAAGAGAGAATTATGATGATTACACCAGGAATAATAATACCTTTTGTTCTGCTGTATCTGCCCTGCTCTCGGAATCTTCCACTCGATTCTCCAAGTCAGATAACTAAAAAAGAGAGAATATAAATGCGTTCCATGGGACTGTAAACAGTATCCTATATTAAATTACTCTTTCATTAAAACAATCCATTAATTAAGTATTGCTTTTAGACTACACAGACCTTCAATTATATTGGACAAAAAGGACTAGTGGAGTGGAGCAGGGGCGTATGAGGGGGGTGGGGGGGGACCCATTTGAAAAATACTTTAAATCCCACTGTTGCCTTTAACTAAAAAACCTTCATTAACAAGCTTTAATCAATACTGCCTTCAGTGAAAATATATTTGATATCATTATTTATAATACGATATGTATCGTTTCTATGAAAATATAGATAATTTTTAAGAAACGTTTTCATCTCTATTTTCCATCCCTTGAACCACAGTATTTAGAGGAAATGTCTGATGAGTCCACTGAAGAAAATTACATAAATAATTTATAAACACTTGTTATATGGATGTGTGATGTGATCGAATAGTTTACATAGTTAAAAAAGGTATCAATAGTGCCCCCCCCTCATACAAAAATGCTCTCGTACGCCCCTGGAGTGGAGTGCATTACAAAAAATTGACTAAACTGTAAATTAGGGTACTTTCATACATATATATGAGCATACTATAATTTCGACACTAGCAAATGCGTAATAAGACACAAAGAAGAACATTTTTTTCGCTTCGCGCACATATTCAACGAATTGACTCTATGTCGTTCATTTTATAGCTGTTGGAATTATAATCTTTTTAAAACTTAAGAACATAAACAATTTGATGTATTACGATCGGTAATAATATATCAAGCAACATGCTACAATTGAAATATTCAATGTTTTAGACTTCACCCCCTAAACACATGTGCTTTCATTAATGTACTGCAGTAAACATACAAACTTTAAAAGGTTGAAGGGTATAGCTGGCATCAAATGAATGATCCCCTTTTAGTGAGATAGATGTGAAATGATTTTTGATCTTTATTTGTCACATTATGTGTTCTCTGTAGATAGTTTTAAAAAATATTTTCTTTGTGAGTAAAAAAAATTATAGATAATGGTTTCATAAATTCGCCATAACAGATAGTCAAACCCTGTTAAACCCTTTTAGCTATAATGAGTCTATTAACTATTCTAGAATTATATTATTTATTAGATATTGAGACTGCAGATAACATTAAAAGTGTTGTTAAAATTTTGCCCTCGTATTGACCTTCTTCCTGTATCTCACTGTGCAAACTTTGTTTTTAGAAGTATTTGGAAAAATCCTAATTGACCTTCGGGCTTTGCGTTAGGGCGGATATATTTTAATGGCCGATTAAAAGGTAAACTGAAGATTATAAAATACTTGTCAAATTCAACCGGGGACTATTTCTGTTTGTATTTTCTTGTCTAAAGTTGAAATGGCTTGAAGTTGGAAAAATATTAGACTGAGGTTCTCTTGGCGCGTGGGGGTTTATAGCGTATGCTCAGAAGTATAGTACTCTTGACAAACGGTCAAATTAGGACGGAGCCCACAATTTAATAGAGTATCGTTGAACGAAACTCATGAGTTTTCTTTTTGGGGTCTTAACATTTGTGAAGATTTTGATTAAACAGATTAAAAAATGGAGTATGAAGAAACTAAAGAAAATAATATTTCATAACAAAAATATTAATATCCACAAAACTGCCTAACTCCATTCGTGAAACCCGGGTTTCAAACCTGGTTTTCATAACAATACCCTGTCTAAAGTTTTGGACTCTGGGCGTCATAAATGGGGAACAATTGTCTTGTTGATAAAAAAACAGTCTTAAATCGTGAACGTTAATATCAAGAACGAATTCTTGGATCATAGAAAAGTCATGAAAAGATAGCAACGGTTATTCGAATTGTCGAGTTTGAAGAGCTTTAAGAAAAATTTACCACAAACTCCAATTTTTTAATACTTTGCAACCCAATGTTGAATTTTGGTAGATCAAAAAGACGGAAAGTTTGAAGAATCAAAAGTTTGCACCTAAGTTGACCCCCCCCCCCCAAAAAAAAAATATACAGGGTGTCCCACGAAACATGACAGTGGATGAATAGTTTGAAATGCCGTCTTCCATAATTTAATAAGTTGTTTGATACTAAAGAGACTAATAACACTTTTTATATCTTATAGTAAAATTGATTTTACAGTAAAATATATATTAGTTAAACATTTTTTTAAAGAAATAAACTGCAAAAAGTCATTTATATCTAAAACAGTATGTGGAAGAAGACATTCAACAACTGTCATGTTGCGAGGGACACCATGTATCTATTACATGAAGAAACCAATTAGATATTACCAGAAGGAAACTATTTTATGTCCTATAAAAACTACAGTTTCATATTATTTACTAGATATATGTTTCAAGGACACATCGTTGTGAATCGGACATTGCCGTTCGTCATTGTATTCAGGGTCATTTATAATTACGCTGACCCACCCTTTTAGAAAGTTGTTTTAGTGCTTATGTGATGTTTATTTTTTTAATTAATTGGATTTTATAATTGTTCTTAAAATGTATTTTCCATACCTTCGATAACTGCCATAAATACATTTTCTAAAGGAAACATTGATTTAATATTTAATAAACAATATGTTTTCCACCTTTTAATAAATAATTGTGATAGCTAGATGGCAATAAACTTGGGTATACTCATTCATTTCTGTAATTACGTACTTCCATTACTTTGTCTGGTCCTGTTGGAATTTTATACATACTTTTGTTTTTGATAACTGATTATTTGCATTTATGGTTTCTTTAAAGTTAAATTTATTTGGGGGGGGGGGGTCGCTTACACAAGTGTTGCTAAATAAGAGATTTATTAATAAGCATTCAAATGCAGTTTACCAGTAATTTATTAGTGAAGCAAAGATCGTGTTCAAATGATATTCTGTAAACCTGCAGTACAATGTACAATATTAACAATGTATGTTGTGGACTTATACATAATGACATTATGCATTGAAACTGTATTTCAATTGAATACGTAGGATTAGATTAAATCATGTGATATACTTAAATTACGCTATAAACATGTGTGGAGATAGCTTATCTATGTTTCTCGCTATTCTTGTAAATACGTACATTAAACTTTATCTTTGCAGTAAATACGTTGTATGATTGTCTTAATTATGTGATATAGATAATGATGTAGGAGTTGTAATTACTTCAATTCACATTAACTTGTGATGTAAGATATTTAAATTTAAGTCAGTTTATAGAGTAACTTTGTACTGATTACTGCGAGAGAGTAATCATGAAACCCTGTGTTGATATGATCAAGTCGGATCGTCCCCATCAGCTGGGATCGATAAATATAGCTTGTTGACAGCTAGGCTTGTGTCTTTGAAACCCTGTGTTCACATAACCTGGTTGGATCGTCCCCATCATTTGGGATTGATATATATAGTTTGTTCATACCTAGGCTTGTGTCCCTGTCCGGCATTTGGAGCCTGGATTATTGGATAGCTATGCTTGTGTCCTTGTGTGACAAGCAGAGCCAGGTGGGTGTTATCCTGTTTGATAAAAGCTTGTTGGATAGCTACGCTTGTGTCCATGTGTGGCATTTAGAGCCAGGTGGGTTGTGTCCTGGTTGACTTTGATAGCGGACGGGTTGAACCTGGATAGATACGTTTCCAGAACTTGTTATGGAGTAAGGCGTTACTACATAAATGATATCAAATTTCAATTGACCCCCCCCCCCCCTAAAATGTGCATGGCTAATATGATCGAAGTCCAGCAAATTTTAACTTGAAGGGCCGATAAATGTTTATAGGTTGTTTTTAGAGATAAACCATAGAATTGCCATTTATTTGCAGTATGCAAATATTTGGTGTCAAGGTGTTTACATAATTTTGCCAGTTTTTAAAACTTTTTTAAAATCTATACTTTTATTTTGTCTCAGTTCTGAAATATCTTTAAATTGCTTTAAACTTTGAGAAAAACAGTTTAACTTTTACGTAAATAATTTTGTCTTTTTACCAAATTTTACGAGGAAAAAGGCTATATTTTATAGTGTGTATTGTATGTATTGTAAAACATTGTTCGTTCCCCCATGTTTTGCCAGTAGGGTGCAGTGAGAATTTTTAAAATATATTACTTAGATTTGTATCACCATAATCTTTTCTTCAAATCCATATATCTTTGCAACCCACTGTCGAAGACGTTAAACTTTTTGAACTTTCAATTCTGTTAGATCAAATAATCTGAATTTGAAATATCAAAGTTTTACAACGTCATGTTACAATTAGATATGGGATTAGAAAATTTGAGTCAATTAGGCAAAGAGTAACTCAATTTTTTAATACTTGTTAAATGCTTACATATACGAAAAAAAATAGCTCTGAAACTATAACAATTGTTTTTTATTTTTTAGTATTTCTCAAGAGTTTTATTGAAGACGAAAATTTACAAAAAAAAACTTTTTGACATGTTTTAATTTACACTGCACCCTAGAAAGTGTACTATTAGGGCAGTATAACATGTCCAAATATGGGGTCCAGCTTAAACATCAGAGAGTCTCAGTTTGAAAACCCATTTTCACCTGTTATCTAAAGATTTTTTGTAATTGGTATCAAATGCTTTCTTTGTTTGACGTTTTATTCCAAATATTAAAGTATATAAAGGGGTATATATATTCTGCATTAAAGATTAAAATATGATGACAGGATGTACTATGTTGAAGTTTACGTGATAATGGTCTACACCCGCAGCCTAGGATGGTGAAGGTAGTAAGAAAGTTACAGGAAAAACAGTTTCTGGAAAAAAACCAGGAGACAAGAATTTCTGAAATTCTATATAGGACAAAATGTCACTGGAAATATAGTCCTTAGTTTTAGATTATTAGGACATTTTTAGTAAACAAGTCCTATAAATTATAGTCTCAAAATGGTAGGACTTTATTACCATGTCTCTCTGGATTAGTTTCGAAAGTAGCACCAAAAAAATTTTTAAGTTGGTGTAAAAAATACTTATCAAGGATTAGTGCGCGCAGTGCCACAATATT